TTTCTAGATCTATGTCAAAATGAATACCTAAAAGTGTAAATTCAGTATGAGACCAGTCAATATTCAAGTCATTCCAGTCAATGCATCATTTTAGTCTTGATCTCTTGTTTTATCCTATTCGAATTAGCTTTGTTTTTTTCAATATTAATATTTAGCCCAGATAATCTTGCAAAGAATTGTAATGTATTTAAAGCTGCATAAAGACATCTCTAAGAACCATCCAGTGTCATCGTCGTATCATCAGCAAATTGTCACATAATGTATTCAATATTATCAATTTTTATTCCTCTTATATAGTTATTATTGTTTATCATTGAGGCCAAAATTTCTATTCAAACCAAAAATATATAAGACGATAGAGGATCCCCTTGACGACAGCCCCGGGTTATTTTAAAGAAGGGTGATGCAAAGCCATTAACCAATACACTGGATTCAATATCATGATTGAAAAGGTTTACCCATTGAATCAAATCTGGTCCAAAGTGATAGAAATTGAGAATATATTTCAATTCAACCGATTTGCAAACATCCTATGCTGGTGTTTTCGAATCCCCCTTATGGTTCTTCATTTGTCGGCACCTTGGACCAAACAATATGGTACATATCTAATTCAATCAAATAACAATTCATATCTGACTGAAAGCTAACATCAACCAAATTGAAAGACATTAGAAACTCGAATGACCAAGTATGAGTTACATACAAATACTGATTCCTCGACATTCTCGCTCGTCGAAACATGACAAGTATTACCATGACTACAGACTCAGCAAACACGAAACCGCAACAACACCACAGCAACAATGTTCTTAAACAATAACATAATAACAAGGGTTAGGTAAAATGATCGATAATCGGAAATATCGTCCATGGGGAAAAAATATTGATTAACGATATGAAAACTGTGTTGTCGCGATAACATCTTACATTTACTTTTGTGATAGAAAACAATTTATAATCTGCTCACACAATATACCAACTTAGATCTTTATATATGGGCTGCTTCCTAAACTATGTTCAGGATGCTGTTGTGTTAGAAATCCATGCATCACTCGCCAGTGATCTGCAATATATTTCTTTCTTTCAGACTTACTTTTGACTTTTTTGGTCTAGGTTATTTCGATACTTATCGCTAATTGATCGATATTTATTAAGCGATTATCAAACTGTATGTTATGTATTGATAGCGAGGCCTAATTATAACCCAACAAGGTAGGAAATAGCATCAACATAATGAAGGCACGATGCAGCGCCATCTTCCAGTTTATGTTTCAGGGCTGGATGATCTTTTGGTCCTTGAAGCACATTTCGCCTATTGATCAGGTTTACCAATTTGAAAAATATCCACTAAGATAATTGGAAATGAAGCCAGAAATGAATCTGTGACCTTTGCATTTGCAATTTCGTATTGACGCTTAGTGGGGAACACAAATACCGCCCTAGCTTTATTTGTTTATTACTTACAACACATTTTGTTACTGATATTTATAGGGCATACTGCCTAGGTTTGGCTGAATAATTCTATTCAACCTCAGTTAGCGTACCAGGCAAGAGTGGAACGTACTATAGCTGTGAAATCACCGGACCTTCAGTTTTGATCTCCCCAGCATATCGGCTGCAGATTACAAGCCGACATACGTTAGTATATTAGAATATTGGAAAGCCCGTTGAAGCTAACACGGCAACCTGCTGCTGTTTTCTCTCTATCGATATTTAAAACACAACAACATTTTATTCATTATAAAAATAATAATTCGAAACATCTATATTTCTAAGTGAGAGTGTATCTGGCAAACAATTTCCTTAATATTCGCGGACCTTTGCGTCATATGACAATGTGCTGGTCTCTTTAATAAACTGTCATTGCTGAATTTCTTCAAACTCTAAAGCGTGCTTCCTGTCCTGGGTCATATGCAGGAAGACCAGGATAAAGGGTGATGTCTGAGACTGCTTCCGATGAGTAAGAAGCGACACGATGAACTCATGAACTCATGATTGTAATCTGGGTGATGGTTACATTGAACACAACATGTGGTACATATATGTCCTGTGTTTTCCTGTCATATAAGTTCTTCAGTTTTCCCAGTGGCAACTTTCCCTTTACAACATTCAAGCAGTTACGACCGTTAGTGTCTGCATTTCCCAACTTTTGAGATACAATGGAGCAAGCTCTTTCTAAATAGCAGCGAAAAAACCCTTTCGACATCCATAAGAAATTTCGGTGAAACGCAGAATCGATGTACAATTCTGACAATATATTGAGTAAGCGTTTCGTCGACGCTGCATTCACCTGTGTGCAGCTTTACAGCTCGGTCTATAACAGAATTTTTAAACCATTTCGTACGATTCATGATCAAACGGGGGAATTGACTTGCCTTTGCAAGTTTAGTTTTAGTGACGAGTGCCATTATGGGGTAGGATACGTTCACTCTTAAATGAAGTCCGGGAACGATCAATAAATGTAGTTTTAAAATTGACATTCGTATTTAAGGAAACACGATATGAATCTTACACATCGTTTGAAAGTCTTCTTGAACCCCACAAATACCTTTTCGTACTAACGTCTGGAACGTTACGTGACTTAGTTGTTAGATTTAGATAAAATTCAGGTTTGTCAGAATTAATGATCAATGAAGGTAGAAAATTAAGGGTTGGTAAAAAAGGAAAGGATTTGTATGTTATTTAAAACAGGTAAATGCAAAGAAATCCATTTTGTCTTTACATGTCCTACTCTTGGTTACCCCAGAATTCTGTATATGCCAAGAACGTACTTCACTAAGCCACCAGAAATTGCATTCTCTTCTTTTGTGACCTCTAGAAATGATACTGATATTTCACGCCTGTCATTGTATTTAAAACATGCGACAAGCTTACGAAATAACTTATTGAAAAATAGTGTATTTCCAAATTGATAGATAAAACCTGCATGTAACATCCGACTGTGTATCATAAGCCGCGTTTACATGCACCGTTTACCCCCGGGGGTAAAATACCCCCAGGAGCAAATGTGCCTCCAGGGGGCAAATTTCGTCATGTAAACGGTACATGCAGGGGGTAAGTATTTACCTCATGGGGGGTATTGAGGCAAAATTTGCCCCAGGTCAAAAGGTAGGGCAAATCTGTTTACCTCCGGGGGTAAATATACCCCCGGAAGTAAACATGTCATGTAAACGCTTTTTACATTTTTTCACGGGGGGCAAATGACAAATATCTAACACCCCTGTACAGAAAATGGACTCTTTTTTTTCTTGGAAATCTATTTTTAGCACTTATGCAATAGGTTGCTTCATTACCAACACTCTTGTGCACTTTGAGGAAGTGAAAATGCCACCAAAGAAGAAGTGCTCGTTGGGTAATTTGTGGTGCGATGATAGCACAAAGTGCCTTCTAAGTATTTGGAGTGATTTGAAAGCACAATCCCAACTGGATAGTCCCTCGAAAGCAGACAATGCTGTATACAGCAAAATCAGCAATGCTTTACATGACATGGGTTATGAGAGAACGAGGTTTCAGTGTAAGGAGAGGATGAAAACTCTCAAAAAGTCGTACAGGCAATGCCGTGATGCACTGAAGAAAAGTGGACAATCACGCAGAACGTGTAAATTCTACAAGGAAATGAATGAAATACTGGAGATAAGGCCAGCCACCTCTCCTGGAAAGGTGATCCAGAGTCTTAAACCACCAGTATCAGATGCAGAAGACTCTGATGCTGCTGCTGATGGTGGTGATCCTGCTTCTGAGGAGATGGAAGATGTCATACCTCTGCTCGAGGGTGGGGATTTGGACATAGATGTCTCAGGAATCGAAAACAAGGATGATAAATCATATGCTGAACCACAAACAAAAGAAGAGGCAATAATCGAAACTAAAACAACAAAGCAGAAGGGAAAACAAAGAAAAGGCCGCTTTCAAGCATCTTTAGAGACTGTAATGGACAGATTCACTAAGTCAAATGAAAGTATTGAAGCGAGTCAAGTTGAATTAGAAAAGAAAAGGATTGAACTTGAAATGAAGAAAATACATGACGAGGCTCACAGGAGAGAGTTTGAACTGAAGAAACTTGACAGAGAGGAGAAACAGCGAACAGCAGACAGAGACCACCAACTGCGAATGCGCCATCTAATCATGAGTAGCAGACCACAGTTTCCTCTGCAGGCTGCTATGCTTCCAGGTCAAGCTTCAGTCCACCCAGTGCCATCTTACAGCCAGGGTTCAGATGACTACAAGCAGCCAGTGCCCAGCACAAGCACTGCAACTCCACCAGGCGACCGAATATCAGATTACTCAGATGTAGACATAACCCCCATCCAAGGTCCCAGGAGAAGCCGTGGTAGTGTTACCCACAACACTGATGGCAGCTGAGGTTTTATAACCTGTGACTGACTTGCTCACTGAGTTTGAATTTTTAGAAAACTGCTAAGAATGCAGTGTATTTATGCAAGTTATATTTTATTTCTGTTTGTTCCGAATGCAACTTAACTCTTGTTTTCAAATGAAGGCTGAAGTAAGTTTGGATCACAACTTAATTTAGCTATAGATTGAATTCTGGTAAACAAGGAATTCGTATGTTTCAAGCTGCGAAAGTCGTCTTTACCTATCCATTGTTTGACTGAATTTGGAAAATACTATCTATATAACTAATGGCAGCAGTTTTTTAATAATAATTTGTGACTGACTTTTTCACCTACCGTAATGTTTTAGAACAAATAATAACAGTGTTCTGTTTGCAGGTTGCAGTTTATTTCTTAAATTTAATGATGTTTGCAAAACAAAACTCTTGTTCTCAAGTCATGTATTGTTCTTTTAAAAGCTTCAAATAAAGAAATGTTTTGATGACATTGATGACATTGAATAAACAAGAATAGAGTAATCACTGTCTCAAATGTTCGTCAGAAAAGCTTCACTGTCTATCATTGGCAAACTGTGCAGTGAGTGCTTCTCGAAGAGCTGATCCAGTGACATCTACGTCCTGCAGCCAGCCGGGGTCAAACAACTCGTGCTCATTTTCGCACATGTTGTGAAGCTGCAGTAAGTACTGGCACAAACTCCACATGCACATAAATGCGCTTAGAGAAACGTCTCCATCGTCCCTTAAGGCGGCCAAATGTGTTTTCAATAGTCATGCGTGCACTGCTCAGTCTGTAGTTGAAGTAAGATTGTTCTTCTGTGAGAGCCCCTCTGTTGCTATATGGTTTCAGTAGCCAAGGACACATAGGGTACGCAGGGTCTGCGATGAGGACAACGGGCATATCCACTTTATGATCAGCAGGGCCTACACTGTCCATCATCTCTGCTGTTTGCGGTAATATATCACCACTATCTGCCAAAGCCCTCAGCTTAGAGTTTGAGAACACCCGGGCATCGTGAACTCTACCTGGCCAGCCTATGCAGACATCAGTGAACCTGTACTTATCATCGCAAACAGCTTGCATGATAATTGAATAGAACCCTTTTCTATTCACAGTATCAGAGTGGAACTGCTGCGGGGCCACAATTGGAATGTGTGTTGCATCTATAGCACCTCCACAATTTGGAAAGTTCCATTTCTGTTGGAACCCTGAAATAACAGTTATTAACTCTTTTAAGTTCTTCATCTTGAGGGAACTTGACCACAGCTGGGAATATGCGTGTGTAAATGGCATTACACACCTCATGCACAATGCAGCACACAGTGGACTTGTGTATTCCAAAAAGATTGGCGATGGTGCGATATTCTCCTGTTGTAGCGAGAAAATATACTGCAACTGCGACTCTGTGTTCAAGACAAAGAGCTTGGCGAATTCTGGATTGTTTTTCAAGATGTTGTCGCAGTTTTTGACAGAGAAGATTGAACATTGCCTTTGACATCCGGAAGTTCTCTCTCCAACGATCATCATCAAATGTCTGTACTGTCACTTCCCACCAGTGTCGACTTCTTTCTCGTTCCCATACACTTCGCTCACTGTGTAATGTGGATGTCACACGTAACACCATAACTTGCAAAAATCTGTTTCTTCTACTTTTCTTTGACAGCCGCCTGTACCTGTCCATGGTCAGATTGAAATGAGAATGATGAATACCCACCCCTGTCTTAAAACCCATGTAAACGCAAATTCTTTTGCCCTTTGCCCCTGGGGGTAAATTAGCCCACGGGGGTAAAATACCAGAATTAATGATCAATGAAGGTAGAAAATGGGGCAAATAGGTGTCATGTAAACGCAGCTTTACTTTAAAACCTTGTTTACATGCACCCCTTTTACCCCCATGGTTATTTTACCCCCATGGGTATTTTGCCCCAGGGGGTAAATTTACCCACAGGGGCAAAGGGCAGAATTGTGCGCCTGCGTTTACATGGTGGGGAGGGTATTGATATTTCTTGTAACTTCTCTATAACCATGGATTAATTTATACGTTTGTCCAAATCTAGAAAACGTAAGAGATTCGTCCAAACTTTGTGCGTGGGTTCATCACTAGAGAAAAGGTAAGGAGTAGATATTGGTGGGAAGTAACTGTACCACGTTTTTATGAAACTCGGTGTAAGGAAAACGTCAGAACGTCAAGGGACATGTTCCAGCGCCTCTGTGAAAAGTTCCATCTTCACATTCAAAAAGATTCGAGTAGCAGTGGCAATATACTGTTTGGGATTCACAGGTCAACAGTTTGTTGTGTAGTACATGAAGTGTGTTATGCCACTTGTACAAACGTGTTTCCTGATATTGTGAAGTTTGCTATAGGCGAAGAGCTAACGAAAAAGTGATATCAGGGTTTCTGGACAAATTGAAACTTCCTATCTGTGCTGGCGCTATAGATGCAACACATAGCCCGATCAGTGCTCCGCAACAGTTTTACACCGACAACATGAACAGAAAAGGATGGTACTAAGTAATCGTGCTCTCTGTATGTGATGACAAGTACTAGTTTACAAATGTGTGCATCAGGCGGCCAGGTAGAGTTCATGATTCCATTCTCTAATTCAGGATTCAAAGCTTCAGCAGATGGTGTCCCATCTTACCACAGTCCCCAGAGTGGAATAAAAGAGTGGGCACTATTAACAATGATGGTGACATGCATGTCGTCATCACTGCAGATCCGGCCTATCTTATCTCTCACTAACTCTTAACACCTTACGGCAACAGAGAAACCCAGTCAGATGAGAAGTCATACTTCAACTTCCGCTTCAGCAGTGCCCGGATGGTCATTGAAAATATATTTGGACGCTTCAAAGGAAGATGTAGGCGCATAACATGTGTGAATCAGACCACATGTTCAACCCTGACTGGCTGGATGAGGTTGAGATACGTAATGGCGACCAAGGACCACAAGGTCAAGTTGATACCACTGGACAAGAATGTTGGACATTGGATGGATGATGGATTGGCATATGGTGTTCATGATGAACTGTAGCATACGCAATTGATGTTCACTGTCAGAAGCTTTCTGTCTGTCTCCTTTATCCGGTTTCCTAAGTGCAAACTCTCTGTTTTCTTTCTCTCGTCATTTTTCTCATTTCCAGCTCAATTTGTTTCTTTTCCAACTCAACCTGCCTTGCTTCAATATCTTCATTAGGTTTAGCAAACTAGTCCATACCGACAAAATGCATGTCTATATTTCCTGGAAAACCATTCCATTATACGAAAGAGTGGAAGGGTGTACAAATGTACCCCTGGTGGTCTGTCATAGACCGTTTACATGACACTTTTGCCCCCAGGGAGTAGAATACCCCCGGGGGTAACTGAATTTCCTCCACTGCTTGAACAGGGGCAGAATACCCCCGTGGGGGATAATTTACCTCCCCGTTTATACGACACAATTTACCTCTCAGGGGTATTTTTACCCCATGGGGTATTTTACCCCCGGGGGCAAAAGGGGTGCATGTAAACAAGGCTTTTTACTAAGTTAATGTATTTTGTATATTTTGTCTGTGGAACGGTGGCCTAAAATACAATAAACTTTCTTACACGAACATCTGGTATAATCAAATAGAGTGAAGAATGGGTGAGGTGTGTTTTCAGTATGTAAACAAAACCAAGATGGATAAACGGCCGCCAGGTGAAGTTGCTAAGCATATGCAAAGAGAATTGTAAATCTGTAAAACTGTGATAAAGTGTCAGGTGTGGCATATGTCACATCAAATACATCAAAAAGGGTTAGAACATGGACAGTTCTTTTGTCTAACATGCATGGAACTTACTCTGGCAGAGTGACCCGAACCTTCCTATTTATTTTGAAAGTTCATTATCCGATATTCAGTAATGACCATATTTGACATTCGTAACAAATGAGACCAGTTATGATCCGGGTAGAATTGGACTTCAGCAACCCATGCTTCTCGTAGGAGGTGAGGTGAGCTGAAATTGGGTTTAACGTCGTGCTTGAGAATATTTCGCTCATATGACGACGTGCATGCGTGTGTATGTGTATGTGCGGCTGCTTGTACTAGCCCAGACTGAAGCTGGTTTTATAGTGCTAGCCCATTAAGATACCATGCCGCAGTGAAGCATGAATATCCCACTCAGACACATTATACTGACTCCGAGCTGACCAGTCCTTGTTGTACCCATTAATACCGAGCGCCAGGCAGGGACAAACAAGTACCATATTTTAACGTATTTTGTTAGGACGCGGTCGGGGATCGAACCCGCGACCTTCCGCTCTCCGGGCGGACGCTCTAACCACTACACCACGGAGGCGGTCGCTTCTCGTAGGAGGCGACTAATAGGATAAGGTGGTCAGCCTCGCTGGCTTGGTTAACACATGCCATCTCCCATTAGCGTAGATCGATGCTCATGCTGTTGATCACTGGATTGTCTGGTCCAGACTCGATTATTTACAGATGGTCGCCATATAGTTGGAATATTGCTGAATGCGGCTTAAACAACAAACAAACAAACGCGACAAACTACTTTTGATTCCACATTCATGCTGGATACTCATATTACGTCAACCAGGTTGACCAAAGGCAACGTGTTTGTACCTTATTACACAGGATAGTGGGGTATATAGTCTTAGACACGTTGTGGTAATGTTCACAGCGACGTCATTATTGGCTTCTCTACAACAGCATCTTTATGGGAATGACCTCTAGAATTATTGCATGACGAGCACCATCATCCTCTAGAATTACAGCATGACGAGCACAATCCAGTACATTAGAACGACTGAGTAACTTTCGTGGAACTGTATTTCAGTTACATCACGGATGAAGGAAAGCCCGAAGTGATGCAGGACATTGACGTTTGTAACTGTGGTGTAACCCGTGAGTACGTGTACATGTATGGACACACCAAGAAACTGAATTATGGCAAAACCGAGATTTGTAAACACGATCGTTGGGCCGCCAGGTGATAAAATGGTAAACACATTCAAAAGCTACCCTCTTTTATTTAAGAGATAACGTACTGGACCTTGGATCTTGAACATGACAGTCTTTGTCAGAGAAGTGTCTGCCCGTCCACCTGTCATGTCTCAGCCTATCCCTGCCATCAAAGATATAAAAGGAAAATCTGACAAAGGATTGTACTGAGATCCTTGCTCACATCGAAATGAAATTCCTTCTTCTTTGTCTGGTCATCGCCTTTGTTGGTAAGTAGAGAGTGGGTGAGATGTGTTAGACTTGTATTAATTCAGTAGCCTAATAGGAATTAATTTTGCAAAATCATTTTTATTAGTCCTAAAAACGTGTCCACTCCCAGTCTATACACATCTTAAATAAGACGTGGACCTGTGAATCGCTTCAACACCATAATGTTAGAACCCTGGACTACTTACGTAATGGTTGCGAAATTGAGAGGCAATCTTCTTGTGTTGGATATGATGTGATGCTGCTCAAAGCGACGTTAAACTCAAGCAATGTCTCGATGTTTTACATTCAAACAATGGACATCTACCATCCATTCCATTCCAAGCGAAATTCCCATGATGCAAAAACATGTTTCGTGGAAGGGGTCACTTTGATTTGTAGTAGAAAAGATCATTTTTGCTGAAATCACTCTTCACTTAATGTATTTATCCTTTTTGTTTCAGGCATGTCCGATGGTAAGTTGATTCAGGTTATGTTTTTCTCTCAATGATGATTCAGTATAAACTAAACAAAAAACAAATAAAGAGTATGAACAAAATATATTTCAACCACACCATTATCGTTTCTGTAATCTTATTACTTGTCCCTATGAACATTTTAGAGCAATAATTGGCTTGTCTGTGCATGTTTTTGTGATGGATGGCATGACAGGGATAGAATATGTTCACCTTTTGGCGAACTATTGTATAAGTGACTAAACTGTACAATGATCAGTGCATTTTGGAGATATGTTTTGTATAAAATAATAAAAGATGTTATTTCTTCTAAAAAGAGAAAAATTCGTACATGAATTACACATTGAATTGTTTCTGTGTGGAAGGTGTATCTCAAGACTTTTATAAAAGCAAAGGTCATCCACTCTTCAAACTATCAGCATTATCTATAAATGGGTCTGTGGAGTAGTCTTGTGCTTAAACTGGTTAAACCCCGGGTACAGTTCCAAAAATGGTTACAATGCCACATCCATTTGTAGTGTCCCTGTCCTGTATGGAATCCTGGAAGGGACATTGTCGCGTTGTCGCATTGTCGCGTTGTCGCCCTCTCAAATACAAGCAAAATGAGGCAAAATTAACCAAATCGCGACAATGCGACATTTCGCCCATTTGTCGCATTGTCGCATGTCGCGTGTCGCGTTTTGAATAATATTGTTTCTATTCCTCCAAAAGGGCGACATAGCGACAATTTTCAAAGTAAAAATATGTTGCGTTGTCGCATTGTCGCGTCGTGATATTGCTTGGACGTTGCTAGAATCACTTTCCATAAAAGAAATATGTATACCTAACCATTGTGCAGCTATTGCCGACGTGTATTGCAGCTGCTTCCATCCAGAAGCGCGTCACCTGCGACCTGCTGTCCCTCCAGATCATGGGCAACTCCTTAGGTGATTCTGCCTGTGCTGCTCATTGCCTCACTCTTGGACACTCTGGTGGACATTGCAGCGGGGGCGTCTGTGTCTGTCGTTAATCGTAAGTGAGGTGAGGTGAGGTGAGGTGAATTGAGTTTCACGTCGTGCTTGAGAATATTTCACTCATATGAAGACGTGCATGCGTGTGTATGGGTATGTACGGCTGCTTGTACTAGCCCAGACTGAAGCTGGTTTTATAGTGCTAACCCACTGAGGTACCATGCTGCAGTGAAGCATGAATACCCCACTTAGACACATTATACTGACTCCGAGCCGACCAGTCCTTGTTGTACCCATTAATGCCGAGCGCCAGGCAGGGACCAACAAGTACCATATTTTAACGTCTTTTGTTATGACGCGGTCGGGTATCGAACCCGCGACCTTCCGCTCTCAGGGCGTTAATCGTTAGTAAGCATGGGATTAGAAGTGAGGAATATTATTTGAAAACGTCATTCATCACAAGAGGATGCTCAGTGGGGACCTTTTGGGGTATTCCTGTTATAAATAGGTTGAGGTTATGTTCAATACGTCGTTTAAGCAATCAAAGGAAGTATATACTTTACAATTAACTTATGTAACTACAAGATAAAATAGCTTTGTTTTGTTTCAGATGTTGCCAAAGGATAATCGTGTACACGCGTAATCCTTCTGTGAAATAAACCTTCTGAAATCGCACTTTCTCTTCCTGTGATGTATACTGTTTGACGTTTAGTACATATGTCTATTACATAAGAAGGTGACCAAATTATGTCATCTTTAGGTGAGTGTGGTTTCACACCGTCTTTGGCAGTATCACTGTATTCAGGTGGAGGACGCCAGAACACACGTGGTACCAATGTGGGGAAGCGTGACGAGCGAACGCTTTAATCACTAGGCCAACCCAACGTTCCACGTCACGATGTATGCCTGCAATGTGATGTGTATGCACATGTCTAAATACTCTTTTATCAATAGTCTGCTTCTCAGGAGGGAAACAAGAGGATCATCATCTACCTATATATACATACTCATCATTATATAGGTAAATCTTAATGCACGGGAGATATGCATATTGTCGTAACTGGCGTTTGGGTGTTAGTAAACCCTACTACAGTTACCTATTAATTATGGTCGTTCCACATTGTTCGGGGAGATGGTAGCTTTGGCGCTCCACTCGCTTGGTCCGTTGCAGGATGCTAAGTCAAGGAGTGAGGGTTCGGACGACCGTGACTTCTAATTAACCACATAACATTCATGTACTGGCACACATACATTCAAAGATAAACGCAACACCAAGTTTATACTCACATAGTTTTACTTTGTCTCAGTCCATCTCTCTAACTACAACTTCAACATCAGACAGGGCAGGTTCGTACGACACGGGGTAACTAACTGAGTGGCGTGGACTGGCTTCCGTCACTAAAAAGCGCGCACCACTCTCTCAGTGCCCAACCTGTCTTTTATATGGTTCGAGGCTGGCCTGATCTTGATCACATGTTTCAACTAATCGTTTTGATTCGGTTAGCCTGTATCCGACCTTGCACTCATGGATATTACGATTGGAAAAGTACCGGTAAGAATCGTTCGGTCACTCTCCCCTTTGTTGTTTGTTTCAATGTAAGATTAATCTGTTATGTCTTTCACAACAAATGTGTTCTGTCTCTCTTTCCATAGCCTACGGCTAAACGCCATTCTATGGAAACTTTCCGTCTCCATACCGTGCCTAACCGTTATGACTCATGAGCAAAACTGCAAATCTATATACGAATCTGATGTAATTCTCTCATGGTTTTTGGGAAGCATTTTTACCTTATAACAATATCCATATTCATGTCGCATAAGGGGATGTCCCATTGTTATGCTTCTACAATCAGCACCCTTGTTCTAACTTTACATAAGTATAAGTATATAAAATGCCAGAGCTAAAGAATATAGAGTCTTTACTATCCTCAGAGTGAGTGAGTGAGTTTCGCTTTACGCCGCACTCAGCAATATTCCAGCTATATGGCGGCGGTCTGTAAATAATCGAGTCTGGATCAGACAATCCAGTGATCAACATCATGAGCATCGATCTACGCAATTGGAAACCGATGACATGTGTCAAACAAGCCAGCGAGCCCGACCACTCGATCACGTTATCGCCTCTTACGACAAGCATGAGTTACTGAAGATTCATTCTAACCCGACCTTCACGGGTCTACTATCCTCAGAAATAATTCCAGTTGGTGTAAAGGGCAAAATAGTGTGGACAACTGAAAATCAGTGATGACACCGGGTGTTCGCGGAAAAGGCAAACATCACCTGCGATATCGGAAGCACACCTGCAAATACAAGCAATCGTCACCTGAACAAAACAAAACAGGAATATGTCGAAATTATGTCTAGTTCAGGTGAACAAAACGGTGGTAAAGGAATTGTCCATTTTACCTTTATTGTACGATTATCAGACCGAGCTAGTAACAACCACATGCAGTTTTAATATCCTTTTCATCCTATTTCTGTCATTTTGATCTTAGGAGTATACATATAAAGTATGTGTTACAACACTTGGTTATGATTTATTCATTAAAAAATATGTTATATATGTTCTAACCCTTAGGCTTGCAAAAATCATATGATGGTGTTTCCATCATGGTGTTTACCATTATGGTACATATTTAATACATGCATCACATTTCCTCTCTCTCTCTCTCTCGAGAGAGAGAGAGAGAGAGAGAGAGAGAGAGAGAGAGAGAGAGAGAGAGAGAGCAAGCATTCTCGTTTTCCTGTAAAACGTCGTAGATAATCGAAAATTGTAGATAGAATGTGAGATCTGAAATAATACACCACTTTTATTGTACACAGTGACTGACGGTACCTTGTGAATAGAGATGAAATGTATTCTTGCAAAATCATCTATTGGTTGAAACTATTATGTATGGCCAATCTTGTGACAGTTGAAATATTCTCACCTGCAATGGCAGCAAGAGTTACATATACCACCAGATACTTCTATGTTACTCCACACAACAATGAGTTGCAAAGACTTTCGACTATCAACATTTATAGATACAAGTCTGGGAACTGATTCAGCTTTCCACCTGTAGTTTATCACGAACCATTGATGTGCGAATGTAAAGATGATTGGTTTACCAGGATGGAATGATTCTAACCTTTCGGACTGGATGATTACATATCTAAGGAAGTGCCTTATTTAATTAGATAATACGAGAAATGATTATGAAAAAGATTATCACCACCCTGTTGAATTATAGGAACATGTTTGAGCGTGGTCTTGGCAGCTCCTGATGAAAGTCCACTATTTCGGGCCAGAACTGATCATATTGGTCACTACTTGTGACTTTTCGATTATGACAATGCCAAATTTCGTAGGCGAGCTGTCCAATCCCGCTTAACACCACATCAGCAGTGTCGTTGTCATGCATAGCAAAATGTACTACTACAATTGTACTACTACAACCCAGGGAAAACGTGATGACAACGATCATCACGACAATCATCACTACAACACAAGCCAGGCAATTAAAAAGTGACTACTAACGATAAAACTACATTTTGTTAAAACAAGCACACTGTGGATATCTTTCAAAAAAGCTAAATTACACGTTTGTAAACCTTAGTATGACGTACGTGCAAAGACCGAAAGTTAAACTGTAATTCGATTTTCTGATGAGTGCAGTTTCTGTTTCTTCCGCCAGAAGAGATTGATACTCAGTGGAAAGCACAGTATAAGGAATACACAGTTGAACATCGTCACCCATTAAAGGAACAAGTAAACCATGATTGGAAATATGGCTGAAAAGCTTCATCTCTGTATATATTTTACCCAACTACTTTTGGTTGAGTTTATTTTCTGTCGAAGCCCATCTTCCATGTCACTGAGTAATAAGGATTTGGTTAATAACACCTTGGATATTTGAGATGGGTAGGTTGCAATACCATTCTGTGAAATAAAGTCTTGACTTGGTTTCTGTGTCAGCTCTGGATTTACCTTAATAAATATGTCGTGAATGTCACGATAACAGGGCTTCATCAGAGTACCTCAATAGACATTGGATTGGACAATGAATGTTTGCGTTGCTGACCAGTGTATACATCTCACAATTGGTCACCATTATGTGTTAGTACGTATGAACCGTACGGGGCCATTTCATCCAAAACACGTTCACCCCAGCACAGCTTCACCCCATACAGTTTCACCCCATACAGTTTCGCCCCATTTAGAGGTTGTTTCACCCCAGCAATAAAATATTATTATTAACAATTATAAATAATATTCTATTTATTTATGTATTGTCTCGAAACAGAATATTAAGATTGTTTGAATAATTATATCAAACTGAGTCCATATTGGCTGTGTTGGATCAGGTGACGTCCTTCAATGACGATAGCAAGTAGCTGCCTTGGACAGGACTGAACTTGTGGAGAGTTTCTTGTCTGTGTACTGTGTCCAGAGGTGAATAAGTTTCTCGTGGATCTTCTTGAATTTCTGTCTATTGTCTCTTGATAGAAGACCATTCTGAACCAGGCATACAAGGTCCTTTCAACATACCAAAGTGAAAAACGTGAGCATCTATACGATACCAATGTAAATACGCATTTCATAATTCTATATAAATCACAGTCCTTTTAACTCCTGCAATATAGGCAAACATGGTTTATCCCCTTGATGTAGTTGTGTTGATGCCACTTGCTGTCCCAGGAGGTACTTACTATAATGCCACTTTGTGAAATAAAGTAAAGGTATGTATGTGTCACCAGACTGATTTCTCTATGCCTTTGTCACTTATTGTGAGGACCACTCACTAGTCATTTGAAAACTCAAAATAATTTGAACACATTAAGTGAATCAGAAATCTTCATTCAGTTGATTTCCCATATAACTCTAAAAGATCTTGACTGGCTAGGAGTCAAGGATGAATGCCACTTTCACAGGCCTAGTATATTGCTTATTTTTTTTGTACTTGCAAGTGCTTATGACCGGTGCCGGATACCTTAGGATACGCTAACCATTTATCATCACTATTTGGTAGTGAATCCAAAACACATGCAGTTGTACCAGTGATCCTGCTTTTCACAGATACTTCATATGGATGTGGACATATAGAGTTTATGGTTACATTTCAAAGTAAACATATTAAAGAAATTGTTCACACTATGTGCAATACACGACCTTATCTCTTTCTAGTTGTGTGGGAACCTATGGTTTTGATTTGGGCTTTGTGCACTTTGCTCACAGATATCTGGATATATCCTGTTCATACAAACATGCATTTAATTGCTCTTGCAGCTGTCAACTCACAGACTATCCCTTGAAGTAAAGAACATATAAAAGGATCACTGGATGGTTGCCATATTAAGAAACAAGATTACTGAAGTCAACATGAAACTGCTTCTGCTGTGTTTGGTTGTTGTGATCGTCGGTAGGTAAATTTAGATTCCTTTGTACCCACAGTCTGTTTATTGAGGTGACAGGGCCCAGAGATCTTAGGCGCTGCAGTCCACAGTGCTTCGTGTCTCTGATTGTTGGCACATCAAAATGATTTTCTGACCGCAACATGCTCATTTTGGTCACCAAACCAATAAGCTTTTCATCAATATATATCGGACCACGCAACTGAATTGACGCTCAAGGCAGCACTAAACCCTAATTATTTAAATTTATTTAAATTCATGAACAGAATATGGGTTTAGATAATATTATTGTAAAAAGACAACAATACATTCACAAAACACAAATATGCATTTAAAGTTCTGTTATTAAGCTTGCTCTATTTACAGTACAACCAGAAAATATTGAGAATTTAAAGATTGTAATTTTTTAGTTTTTTCATTCATTACTCACGTATTAAATGTGAATATTAGCAGAACATAACTCCAGATTCAAAGACAGGTGAACAGTTAGTATGTTGTCAAGTCACCAAGGGCAGCAATGCAGCCTTCAATGCGGCGGGGCATACTACTGATCAAAGAAGTTAGAAAGTCGTGGTCCATGCTGTCCCAATATCGGACCACCTCTTCTTTCATTTCAGCAATATTTGTCAGATTTTTCTTATTGACACTTTCCTTCATAAGTCCCGAAACATTTTCTATTGGATTTAGGTCAGGGCTATAGCTTGGCCAATCTAATAATGTCATATTTTGGGTCCGAAACCAGGCCTGTGAATGCTTTGAACGATGCCTTGGGTCGTTGTCCTGCTGGAAAATCCAAACATTTCCATAGAACACGTGAGCAGATGGAAGTAAATGACCCTCGAGAATATCTGTGTACCGCTCACTGTTCATATTCCCTTCAAATACACAGAGGGGCGTTGCCCTAACAGACATATGCCACCCCACACGTTAAATTTAGGACTGTACTTTGGGCGCTGATGCAAAGGTTTTTCAGTTTGTTTGGTCCAGAATTTCAGTGTATTAGGAAACAGCCACAAAGAAAATCACATTGTCCCAGTTAAAATTTCTATGCTGTAAGCACGTGTTCAACCTTTCACTCCTTTTGTTCGGGTTTCATGATCGGTGATGGAATTCCTCGACTTTTCTGCCAACCCATTGCATGGAGCTCAGTTCTAATTGTCTCCTTACAGACAGCCACAGTACCTCTATCAATCATATCCAGCCTTAAGTTTTCTAAACTCCTTCGTTTGTTGTTAGAAACAAGAATACCAAACCGCCTTCTGTCACCGACAGTCAATTTTCTGGCCTACCTGCGCCTCCCTGGTGCTTAATGCCATATCCATTTGCAATATTTTTCAAAACACGATAAACAGTGGACAAAGGGATGCCTGTTCTACTTGAAATCACTTTAGCTGATCTGATGTCCTTGTTATAATACTCTAAAATCAACTTCCTCTTCTCTAAATCATCCATACTGAGGATCACTGAAAATGTCGTCTGCTAGCAAGTAAACAAAGGGGGAAAACTCTTCACAAACTAATGAAAAAGGATTAACGGAGTTGTCTCTCTTGAATGAAACCAGGCACTTGATAGCTGGTCAAGGTTGTATATACTAGAAATCCAATTAAGCATATTCCTAAAATTCTCAATAATTTCTGGTCATAGTATAACTATAGGTTACTATACCGATCTTATTTTCTACAAGTGTTTTATTCAACCTATTATTTTCATTACAGCAATGGCCGATGGTAAGTAATCAGAGTTACATTATCCGTATTTCAAAAGAATAGTTACTATTATCTTATCTGCTGATAAAGGCATTTAGAAAATATGGTAACGTTTCATTTAAATGTATTTTATAGGTCATGAATATATGAAACGAGCCAACAAACAACTGCTTTATTGAACGCGAGAGTAATCAACGCATTACACACATTTGGTGTGATCAGCGTAATCTATCTGTATGCACACAACATAGATGAAGAGAGCCTGATAACGAAGCCCATAGCCATAGCACCCCGTTAATGGAATCAATATCTTTTGAGACCTTTGGTGTCTGAGATACAGCGCATCAGCCATTACGTAAAACTCGAGATGAAGTCATTGTATACGACACTCCGTATCATACGTCAGAGACAGGGATCAGCCATTCTCCTTTTCAGTCAGAATTCAACCTTCTCTACTCAACGCAATGAAACTTATTTTTTATGCTTTCCTGCATTATACGGCGTTTCCAAAGTGAAGCGTACGATGTAACTGGATTGTATGTATACCACCTAGTTAATGAATCTGGCCACATATCGACATATGTGTCATGATTTGTTTGATGCTTAACGCTGCACTCAGAAATATTCCAACTATATGGCGGCGGTCTGTAAATAATCGAGTCTGGACCAGACTACCTAGTGATCAAAATCATGAGCATCGATCTACGCAATAGAGATACTGTGTTTAGCTGTGTTTAAATCAAATCTGCAGACGTGTCTCTTTGCTGAAGCATTTGAACTCTATGTGATATCTAGACCATCTTAGAGCCAGAGCGCCTTTGAGCGGATTAGGGATATTGGCGATATACAAGTATTTGTATGTATGTATGTATGAATTACATGCATGAACCAAGACAGTGAGCCTGATCACTCGATCCCGTGAGTCGCCTTTTACAACAAGCATGGGTTGCTCAGACATATGTGCTCAGAGGCAAACGTCAATCTGACAAAGAAAGGCAGAAATCCACTGTATTACTTCACATGGAGAAATGTGCAGAAAAGGGCAATGGTTCATATCTTACACGAGTTCAGGTTCACACTGTCAGTGGCGAGTGTGGCCACCTTGTGCGTTGATGCAGGCTTGGCACTTTTGTCTCAATGAGGCCATTGAAGTCATTTAATGTCTCAAGATATTGACGAGTCTCTGCAACGCCGCACTGTCGTTCCATTTCATTACCGACAAGTTCTAATGTGACAGATCAAGTCATTTCGCAGTCCAGGTGAACCTTACACATGCGAATCATGTATAAGAGTTGTTAAAGGAGTACATTCACGCTTCAACATGTTATGCCTTTGATTAGATATTAGTACATAACGTGTATTTTGATAACTTTGCTCTGTATACGGCAGAATTCATGTGTTTCAGCTGCTTCGATTGAGAAGCGTATCACCTGCGATCTGCTGTCCTTCACCATCATGGGCAACTCCATTGGTGATTCTGCCTGTGCTGCTAAATGCCTTATCACTAAACACTCGGGCGGACACTGTAGCGGTGGCGTCTGTGTCTGTCGATAAACATCAGTAAGTATTGGTTTCTTTAAAAGTCCTTGACGTGTGCGCAGGTTCTGGGAGAAGTACCCCGAAATCTGAACTGCAAGTGTGTATTATTATCGCCTTTGTCCGGATCATATTATGATACCCCAGAAGTGACCTCCACCAACACTCTATCCCATCCTCCTTCTCCCCGCTCTATCCCTATCCCTCCAAATACCTCCCTCCACCCCCTTACACACACAAGCGCGCACGCATGCACGCACACGCCGCCAAATCCTCCAGCCCTACTCCACCCCAAAACACCACAAAATTATACTGGCAGTATGGGGCTGTTTCGAACAAATCCACTCTCAATGTAAAACCTCTATACAGGAAATGCCCATTATATCCTATCAGGAATATATCTTTTTGGTAATATCACTGTTTTGATACCACATATGGAGTCTAAGAATGAAATCCTTAGAAAAGAGTACCGACTTACAGTACTCATCAATAAGGGACAAAACTAACAAATATTTCTGTCTTTTCAGATTGACACGGCAGTTCTGCACCTCTACCAATGTGACCTGAATAAATATATTTTACAATTTTCAACATGTTTAGTTCTGTATACGATTAAGGATACGATCTATATTACTTATGGCTTGAGAATTGGCCTGTCACGATCTGTGATCAATTCCCAGCATCAGAGAAGCCAGTCTTGCTGTCCCTCGAGGTTACATGGGCTGGAATCAACGTTGAACAATGAAAAAGGAAGGAAATTCCGTCATTTTAAGGGAACAATTTAAAGGACATCCTTGCCTACACATGCTTGTCGTTAATCACGTGTAAAAAATCACGCGAAACAGGGTTAACAAATTCCCACGTGTAACGTCACTGAATCTTGTCATCTGGCCCTGCCAATGGGGAGCCTTTGTAGTGCCATCAAATACAAGTGTGTATGGTCTACCATGCTTCCTTGAACAGTCAGTGTCTTAACGGTTACATGCTATTGTTGCATGACGAATGGCATTTCGATGCGCTTAGGACAAATGATCAGGTAATTTGTTGTAACTAAGTCATACATTGTCCGTTGTTGGGAACAACTCTTTACTGCCTACTTGTACTTGCTCCAAGATGGCGTGTTTGCTATGGATAGACCCTTCTAATGTCAAGAAACACAAGAAAAACGTCGGACATATCGATGCATTTCTATCAGAATTGGCAATCCAATGAACTCAAACTCTAAACTTTACGCTCACTCGCTTTTCAAGTCATCTCAAACTATAGACCATTATCTCCTTCATGTTGATAGTAACTAGTATTTAAGACAAGCCCTATCAAGATTCCGATGCTCCTGCCACACCCTCATGATTGAGAAGGGACGATATCTCAACATAGAACAAGTAGACCGACTATGTGCCTTCTGTCTACGTTTTGGAACTTATGAAATTGAAAATGAATATCACTTTTTACCAAAAGCCTAAATATCATTCTAATTCTACATACAGTAAATATATTGAATTGATGACCTTTGAATGTAAATGCGCACTTTTACCAAAATTTGTATTTTGTTTTCATTCACAAAGCATTCATCACACACCTGATGTGCATGTTTCACCTTTTTTATGCATCGTTTTCATTCAGTATGTACAAATTATTGTCATTACCCTATGTTCTGTGGCCTGTGGCCAGTGGACTTCAAGAAATAAACACACATAAATACAGAAATTCATCGTCACACTATACATGCATCTCAAGTCCTATATGAAGTGAAAATGAATTAAAGACTTAAAGAAAATGTTCATATTCAGCCTATATTCAAAATGGTGACCTATCCAAAATAGCACAGGCCTTCGAGGGTAATGACAGACTGCACGCAGATAACGGAAATGTCTGTCTGTCACCCATGTACACATATGTGTCAAACAGAATTACTTCCTAATCCAGATGTGATTATATACATATATAGGCAATGCGAAAGACTCCCGACTATAGTCATGCATAGATGATTCAAATTGTCACCTACTGACTGACTGGGTTGGTTTTACGCCGCTTTTAGCAATATTCCAGCAATATCACGGCGGGGGACACCAGAAATGGGCTTCACACAATGTACCCATGTGGGGATTCGAACCCGGGTCTTCGGCGTGACGAGCCAACGCTTTAACCACTAGGCTACCCCATCGCCCCTAATTGTCACCTACGAAAGATAGAACAGGCCTGCGACGGTGCATGTCACACTGAACACAGATAACAAGAATGTCTGTCTGTCACCTATGTACAGGCGTATGTGTCAAATAGGTTTAAAGCCTATTCCAGATATGGTCATATACATATATAGACAATGCGTAAGGCTTGTCGTATTTGATGCAAATGTATTTTAATGATAATACTAAGAGTACTTGTATAGTGTCTCATCCACATCACTTAGGGACATGCTCTAAGCATAATTTACTGCAAGTGGGAATTTCATTCAATGCAAGTCATATGTAAAGTATTTTATGGTTAAAAATATTTCAGTCACGCTCCTGTCAAGGTATCTTCAAATCGGTACAGATGAAATTTCGTAGTGATCATCTGGCCCAGTGATGTATATGGATCTTAAAGAGGGATTATTGCTGGTGCAAGTTTGGATGGCTGGGTCCAAACGTTGTGATCACTGACGAGGACACTGGCTGTGTGTTATTATCGGCGGGGTTACTGACATAATTGTGTCAAACTAACACTTGTCTGTATGTAAATTGTAATCAGGATTGTAGCTGGTGACCTGTCTAACATAGATAATATCTGCATGTAGCAAGGGTTGTGATTAGATTGCCAAATGATCCGAGCCAAACTAAAAAGCCAACAAGCATTAAAAGGTACAAAACTGTCCGTATATTTTATGGCTGAAACGGGTACCGGGGTACTAAAGTACGAGGCGGGTAGGAACACAACTCGAGTAGTATTTGGAGTACTTGTCCAAGAAGACTTATCTACTCTCTCACACCACATGTAGTTGTGTCGGTCCCAACATGGCTGAGCAATCTCGCTCCAACGTCTGATCGTATTTCAAGGGGACCATTTCAAGCTAAAAAGGATAGCTAAAACCAGAATGCTCGTTATGTGGCATAAAAGTGTCATTCAAGGATGGCACGACCTCAACTATGAGAAACCATTTCAAGATGAAGCACAAATCTACATTTGATACATTTGCCCGCCTCGACATCAACTCAAAAGCAGACTACCCTAGGCAGTTTCTCTTAACAGGTACAACGTAATAATTCTGAATTTCAGATATATTCATTATCAAACCGATTACATAAAGCTCTCCGAATTATCAAACATTATAAAATAACTGACAGTCGTAAATTAATGTGTACATGTAATCACTTGTATTTCTTCCCGTCGGAAGAGCGTATTAACCCTCTTCATGCCAGATGACATTATCTTAGTTACATATGCCACGTTAACCCATTGGTCTCATTAGCTAGCGTTGACTGATTACCCTCTTTTGACGTTTTTCACACGTAACTTGACTTGAATTATATGTTACTGTAGAACTGAACTTTAATATTCAAAGTAGATAACTCTGGTTGCATGATATATGCGTTAAACAGTGCATGTCAAAAACACACCAAAATACATAACAAATAACAGTCGTTTATTTTAGCCTATTATTTTAAGTCAAACTTCTAACAAGGGTATTTGCAGAACCAATGATGACTTCATTGGGGATATTTGGTTGATTGTTCTTTAACATTATGGTTTGTTTTCAAGCTACTTGTTTGTCATCAATGCATTAAAGTTCGGAGTTTGTATTTAAACTTGGGTCATTTATTCATACCAGTAGATCATGCAGTTACTGATCAGTTTGAGAATAAATCAGAACATATTACATGGCGTTGATTACGTAAGGGTCCATTGTTTATTTCTCATTCAATGGGCTTCAAATATAACGTACGCATAACATAACAACACTTGGGCTGTCAGACGGTTGTGATTATTTTTTACAAATGCACATCTCAATAGCTTAAAATACATCCCTGAAACAAAGACGTAATAACTGTTCAAAACACCAGGAAAACGCGTTTCAGAACCTCTAGTTTTAAGACACCTTACGCGATCTCGCCTCAACTGCTTTGCAGTCTCGAGAGCAAGTGCTCGAGTACTCGCGAGTAGCTGAAGGCGAGTACTCTAGTACTTACCATTACTACCCATTTCAACCCTATTAACATGTTGCAGGTTACATAAAAACATCGAACCTGATATCACAAGACCTTTGGCCTTACATTGACATGGTGACAATAGTGCATTATGTATGAGTGTTATACCTCCAGCTGCATTGTATGTGACTATTGTATGACACAGTTCAAGGTGGGAGCCAGTGCATCAGCGATTGCTCCGCGTTACACATCAGGTTGCTAGTGACAGCTGATGATAACTATGAGGTGTGTGCGGGACGTATTCTACAACACAGAGTGAATCATGTTCCTGTGTGATGAGACAATGTGGGGATGTTGCCTCCTCCTTGCAACGTTTGCACATGCAGCTGCAGCATCAGGTAAACGTCTTCCACCTTCTAATTCACGGACAGTTCGCGATATTTAGTTGACTGTGGTGCAGACAATGTAAGCAGTAAATCACAGCGACAAAAGAACACATTCCAATACCGGTTTCAAATATCATCAGGGCCTGGCGCCGTCTTTGATTTGGATTTTTGTATTACTTGTTATAAGGCAATCGGGTGTAATGCCAATAGAAGCGACAAAACCCTTTCTACATCCATGAGAAATCTCTGCTTAAAGCAGAGTCGATTGTACAATAATTCTTGTGAATATAACTCACCAATGGCCAAGTTAGGTTTTCATTTTCATGGATATTGTTATTGAAATCCTCCACTCATGGTTCCTCGAGGTTGGACTCACTGGTTATAGACTTTTACTATTTGCAAAATGATTTCACCAAACCCATGGTGATTCTTGTTATTTTGCCATTGGTTGCATTTACTTGCCAGCAAATGTGTTTTCGTCAGTCTTGTAAAGTCTATTGTGTTGTATTCAAGCGAACGACTGAAACGCACTAAATGAATAAGAAAGGACAGGCACAGCATAACTATCTGTGGCACGTCATTGCGACCATTCCTCGCTGAACTTTTCTTAAGTCTACTTTTGCATTCTCCCCTATGCTTTGTCCTATATGTTGGCATTCCGAAGTACGTATAGGCCTGACCTTCCATGAGATGACCAAGTATACTCAAATAAACTTACTGATCCTGCTTTTTTTATCTTGCGGGGCTGTTGGGTAGCCTAGTGGTTAAAGCGTTCGCTCGTCACGCCGAAGACCCGAGTTCGATTCCCCACATGGACACAACGTGAAGCCCATTTCTGGTGTCCCCCGCCGTGATATTGCTAAAAAGCGGCGTAAAAACATACTCACTCGCTCACTCTTTTATCTTCCAACGTTTCAGTTGTTATGTTTTACAGATTAAAATTTGATTGTCACTTGTCCTGACACTGTCAGGCTGGTAAGGCTCATGATCAGCTCAGGTATCCTTGGCCTCTCTAGACGCAGCATAAATTGTTATATTATTCATATTATTTCTTTAGAAAGATACACGTGTCCGGAAGGCTGGTTGCTGAAACAAGCATCTTGCTACAGATGGGGCACGACTCAAGTCACATACAGCCAGGCCACGTTTCAGTGTAAAGAGTGGGGGGCAGGCCTCAGAGTTATCAACAGCGAGCAGGAAAACGCACTGTTTTCAGGTGAGTGTAAACACCTATTCTCACGAAATGTGCACCATTTGTAATTGTACGTGTCTCCGCATTAAAATACTGATTTTGTACTGATTTCACTAGTTCATTTCATGTTTATATGAGGCGACAGGCTTGGTAGGTATCCGGGACATAGAAATTGTTTATGATCTGTTATTTATGTGTGTGACTCAGGGTAAAAAGTTAGTCAATATCAGCAAATTGTGCATGTCTCCAATGATAGTATAACATTTTGAGTGAATGTTTCAAAGTAAATAGTTATTTAGTGTGAACAAAACAGATAACATTTTCCACATAAGGTATTGTCCCTTTCGTCCATACCCAGAACATATCTTCATCTGGTTTAATATATATTTTTAGAATTTATGTTAAAAATGATGTCTCCCCAAAAAGTGTAATCTACGCTACCCCATGAAAATGATCATATGATCATTACAAAAATTATATGTATTCATCAGATAGTATTCCTTATTTACAGTTATATGTTGGGACAATACAATATCAATCTCATAGCCACTAAATTTCAGCCGATTTCTCACCATGATGTTTCACAGGTTTAAAGTTGTAGAGATTTTTAAGAATGTAATCTACGTGACCACCATAAGATAAAAGTGTACATCCAGTGTTACCAAAAGGTTTTAAAATGAATGGACCTATTCAACAGTAATAACTAAGTGAAGAATATGCTCTTCCTTTACACTTTAAATGTTTGGTGGGTGCTAAAGGACGTCTGTGTAATCTACGTTATGTAATCTACGTGACCTCATTTCCAAAGGATTGCACACACTAGTTACGTACCTTTGGCACAGACCGTCCACTGGTTCCAGAAGTAGTCATCCAAGCGCCAAAAGCACATGGCATGACGGACATTTTGTTCAGTGGCGTGATTGAAATGTGATCGACTGTCGAGTGACTGTCGTACCTGCGTACAACTGATCACACGCTATCAGGGCTACTCAGGTGAAACAGTTTTATGGATCTCAAGTTATGGCATGAACTCTTCTAAGCATTAAATGATTATTTAGTTTTAATTAGCTTATCAGAGTTGATACTCTACATCAAGCTAAACAGGTAACGTGATTACAGCTTGAATTTTCACCGTGCTTATGTACCGTCTGTAATGAATGAAACGAAGAAAATGTTAATGTCTTTTGTAACTCTGTGTAAACCATAGCAACATTTCGCCGGTAATTTTTCAAACTTTCTATATAGATATGGTAGTTGTTGTTGATCACAATATAATACAAATATATTTGTGGTAACACTTAGTTTAAAAATAACTTAATAGAAAGCTTGATGATTTATGCAAATTAGATTACCCAATCATGAGTACCCAATCATGATTGGCGATTTTCGTGGTCTCCTTGACATCTGACTTTTGATAGTTTGAATTTTGTGAACAATAAATGATGTTCTAACAATAAAATGACTTATCATTTATAAAAAAAAGAACTTTAATTCTTTTATCATTTCCAGTTATCAGTTGGTGCACATTTTGTGAGAATAGGTGAAAACACAGCTGTTTTCTGGTAAACATCATCAACATAATGACGCAATGGAGAAACACACTAAAACGGCTTATTAACTGGTTTAATCATGTACAGGATCAGGCTCGAACAGTGGGACACAATACTGGTTGGGAATAGACAGAAATAATGGCAATAGCTGGCGTGTAACCGACCATCTCGGTCAGTCACAGGTGAGTCTCTAGATTACAGTGTAGAATATGGAATTTGCATTCACGCTGGATGCGAAGAACCTTCTTAACTATTTAGCTATATAAGCCACAGTACCACTACCAATTATTTTAAATGTTACGTCGGGTCCCCTTCGTTGTACGTCGTGCATGTGTTTCCTGATATTTTAGGACTAGATGTATAATTAGGTCATCAATTTCCTGTTACTTCACAAATCACAACTATGTATATAATCAAATACCAATACAATCTATCTATGTGGCTGAACTAGTTTATCCCGATATTACAGATAGGAATAATAGGAAAAGATGGACAGCACATCCGTAACACAGTTTTTTTAATGGCATTTAGAAGTGATACACATAGGGAGGAGAGCAAACTCTATTCCTAACGTTATAAAGTTTGTCAAAATATAAACATCACACAAATACATATTTAACGTTGCATATAGGTATGATATATACCTGTTCTCAAGTGGAATTGTAATATAACATTATACAGCTGTATATGGACACAAACGGGGTATATTGTCTTTCAGTAAAATTGAAATGTAATTCTTTCAAGGTCTTTTTTTTCCATGATCAATGATTAAACTTTTTATCATTTTAGTTTTCACAGTGTAAAAATTTGGCAATATAATGTGAGCATTTCCAAGATAACGTATAATAGCTGATGTAATGTAAAAGGAGTGAGAGAATACACGTAACCAAATCACTCACCTTTATATCCAAGGCGAGATTTTATAACTTCGAAGGCAACGGGTTTAACCCACCATTAAACGGATAGACGAAGGATGTCATCCATTAAAACAGACTAGTGTCAATATAAACCATGAAAAGGGGTGCATGTGATGCCCCCTCTCCTAAAGAGTTGTAGCCGACCCTGCAAAGTTGCATCAGGAACTCTCGAAGAGAAGTCTTGACTGAAACTTAGAAGTTATTCAAATACAGGAGGCAAGTAATGGATGTCATCTTTATCATAAGGAACACAACGTTTTGGAGAATTGTCCTACTTCCTCATCACTTGAATAAAGGAGTAAGAACATATTCTCCCAAACGCCGTGTTCCTTATAAAAAGAAGTTGACATAACTAAATTCTCTGTATCACATATGTAGATTTTACATGTTTAACAAAATCAGTATAGACCCTCTTTGCATTTTATCACAACATGTGCATTTCTAATCTAGTTCATGCATCCTTCCAGAGCCCAGTGTACACTGCATTTTCTTCGAGGAGTGAAAATTACCGCTCTCTTTGTGCTGTGTGGTCCTCAACAGAGACCTCTTGGTCAAAGGTCCGGTGTGGTTCATCATATCACTTCATATGTCAAAAGCCAGCAGGTAACACCAGAAACATACATTTCAGAAAATAAAGTTAACATTTATCTGTAGGAACACTTATTATGCAATGAAACAAACTGACACTGTGGGAAGTGATTTGACGTATCACCGCTTTGAACAGTATCTCGGTTTTATCAAGTCGCTTGATGAAAGGTTAACGCCGAAATGAAGCAGGTCTTAGACGCTTAACACGAGCACGGATATGTTGCTGACAAACCTAGGAACATACCGATATTTTCTTGTGTCGGCCCGGAATATGATCATAGGTTTCTAATGTTGGCTCAAAAAGATGGTCATATGGCTCTAGTGTCGGTCCAGAACATGATCATATGTTTCTAGAGTTGATCCGGAACATGATCATATGTTTTTAATGTTGGCCCGAAACATGATCAATTTTTTCCAGCGTTGACCCGGAACATGATCATATTGTTCTTGTGACGTTCTGAAACATGAGCATTATGATTCTAGTGTTGACCCAGAACATGATCATAATATTATGTTTCTAGTATTGGCTCGGAACATGATCATATGTTTCAAGTTTTGTCCCGGAAAAAGAACAAATCTGGATTTCTGGAACATAATCTGTCAATCTGGAACATAATCCTATGTTTATAGTGTCTGTCCAGAACATGATCATATGTTTTTAGTGTCGGTCCAGAACATGATCGATCATAGGTTTCTTCTGTTGGCCCGGAACATAGTCAAATGTTTTTAGTGTCGGTCCGGAAAATGATTTTATGTTTCTAGTGTTGGCCCGGGACATGATCATATTTTTCTAGTGTTGGCCCGGACCATGATCATATGATTCTAGTATTGGTCCTGAACATGATCATATGTTGGCCAGGAACATGATCATACGTTTCTTGTGTTGGCCCGGATCATGACATATGTTTACTAGCATATGTTTCTAATGTTGGCCATGATCATAGGTTCTCATGTGGTGGCCCGGAACATGATCATAGGTTTCTTGTGTCGGTACAGAACATAATCATTATGTTTCTCGCGATGGAACGGAACATCATCACATATTCCTAGTGTCGACTCATTGTTTTTACGTACAGTCAGTGGCCAAAAGTCTGTTCGCAAAACATGTTACGTTGCCCATGTTTTGAGCGGTAGGTTGACTTTGAAAGCATTTCGCTGTGCTGATAAGCCCCCAATCGTAATGTGATTTGGGGTACAAATTTCACAGGTCACAAAATATGCGTAGCACCTATAATATGCGATTATCTCCCTTGCTTTGTTTATGTTTTTGTCGTCTGCTATCATGCCGCCTGTCAACCGAGAATTGACCTGACCTGACCAAAGAAATGTAATTGTTGAGTTCAATCAGCAAGGCCAATCAAGCTACAAAATTGCTGATTTGACAGGTATAAACCCTAGAACAATTAAGAAAATTTTAAACATTTTCGGGAGCGAGGTTCAGTTAAATCGTTGCCGAGAAGTGGGCGGCCCCGAAAATCGTCACCAAGAAGTGAACGACGGCTTTTTCGTCTTGTGAAAAGGAATCGCCGGTAAACACTTGGGGATTTGACAGCAACATATAACAATCAGGGACAGACTACACTGTCTTCTCGCACTGTCAGAAGAAGATTGTTCACTGAGGGGTACGTACCGTAGACATGTGGTAAGCAAGAAAATCACCATGTCTCGTGTTAACAGACAGAAGAGACGCCGATTTTGTCGGACAAATTGCATTGGGGAAGAAATGAGTGGGATAATGTCATTTTTAGTGATGAGACACAAGTCCAGATCGGGAAAGACAGAAAAGTTTATGTGTGGAGAAAGTCGGATGAGCGATTGTTTGGGGATTCGTACCGATCATGAACGAAATTCGAAGTTTTCAGTGATGTTTTGGGGGTGTGTGTCGGCGTATGGAGTGGGAACTTTAACTGTCGTTGATGGCAACGTGAACACTGATAAGTACATTGCCATTCTTGATAACCATTTGTGGCCTGTAGTTACCAGGCATTTTGTCAACCGTAATTGAATTTTCCCAGAAGACAATTCCCCTTGTCATGTGTTTGTTCGGGCTAACCGTTGGAAACAGGAAAATCATATTCTCTAGAAATAGCCGTGACGTCACCGGTGCGAACAGACTTTTGGCCACTGACTGTAGGTACCATTAACTGCATACATCGGTGTTTGGCGGTATTACATTTGCGTTTTCTTTTAAATGTATATCGTCATTATCAGATATATATTTCCAAATTGTGTCTGCCGTTTGTATTTTAGACTGTGCCCAGAACATGTTTGGTGGGAACTGTTCCTCGGAGTGCCACTGTAAAGGTGGGCCATGTGATCCTGCATCTGGGATCTGTAAACATGGCTGCTTATTGGGTTGGAGTGGACAGTCGTGTGACACAGGTGAGATCGGTGAAAGACTTACCTGTATTTTCGCTAGAATTCCAATAAAGAAAAACGATGTCACAGCAACACCCCATCACACAGCTTATGATGTACTATAAACCCTGCTATATATGTACATATGTTCGAATGTTATGTTCTCTATGGTGTCAACGGGTTTTTTTTTCTTTTCAGAAAAACTCAAAGCTGAAGGTGCAGTATCCGTTCAGACATTTACACATGCATAAATATTGTCCTTTAATAACATACTGTAGTAAATCAGGTATGATTTCTTTAGATGCTCAATGTTACCATCTTACATCCAGTGTTTCTGGGACAGTTTGGATCAATAGCAGCAATTAACTGCAAAACCAAAACCCAAATGTCGACAGGATGTCGTCACGATGCCATCTGGATGGTTGCGTGCATTTTCTTCCAGATGATTGGAATCATTTCCAATCACTGTATGATTCAGAATCTCAGATTTACAGTTCATTCTAACGCATGTGATTTTATCTGTGTAAGCGAAATGGACACAACTTTACTGCCAATCAAAAGTTTAGACTCACCTAAAGCACTCACTATATGCTATGCACATATATATATATGGTTACTTCGAAGATGAATTTCTCCACTAACTCGGGGGAACCAACTGCAAACGTTATGGAGATGAATTGTACGAGGATCATGCATAAATTCGCTGAAAAGCATGTGCAAATATCGTTCATGTGAACTGCTGAGTTTTGGTGTAAAGCTTTGTTAAGAATTTGCCAATTTTCAACGATTTTCATCATTTACTGAACTCATGACAATAATGTTTTCAACGTTACGAATTATTTTACAATACATTAATTAATGTGTAAACAGTATCTTTGAACTTAATGAAATATTTTGCAAAATCAAGTTCAGAACAGTTTACTGAAGTAAGTGGCTACATTTACCCTAGTGAGTCTAATTTTTTGATGGGTAGTATAGTTACATCTTGTACAAAACCTTGTGCACCAAAAATACGTGACTTGTGTACAACTGACTTCTGTCGTGTCCACCTATTCCTTAGAAATATGCAGATGGCGATGGATACAGCCCAATTGTGCATTTCGTTGTGTATCAGTAAGATTTAACTAAGTACATAGGTATAGTTTCACAACGAAGTGGAAACAAACAAACAATACAAACCATGTGTAGAGTGGCTTGAATGACTGGGCAATCCCAGTGTCTAGGGACTGCAAGTAGTCTGTCATACAGACCCTGTAGCAAATATATGCAACAAATCCCACGTAAGTCTAGAAAATGTGGCAATTCTAGATTTCCACAGCTTCAGGAAGTCTCAGGGCTCCTTTTCATTATATTTTATTTTTTTTCACTATGAGCTAATTTCTGTAAAACATGTTCATGTCAGAGACTAGTGGTTAATCTAGGGCTGCAGGTGACTTGTTGTTGTAAGTGGCAGGAAGTGTATTGCCACATGTGTTGACTACTTAAAGCATAAATGAGTTTGTTCAGTTACTCTGGGTCATGTCAATTAACCAATGTAAGACATGTATACTACATGCAGCCAGTGTAATTGGCATCATAACCAGGAAACAAATGACTTTTGTTCCATTGGCAAATGGCATTATATGCCAGTTTGGCATTATAACCAGGTTGAACTGTACATTGGAAGCTGATGCTACAGGACAATAGAGCGTGTTGTATACAGTTATAAAACACGGATGTAAGTAAATACATGTACTAGTCAAAACGTTAACTCGACCCTGGTTCGGCGGAAGGTTTGTCTTTGGTCCCTGAGGACTGCTTGAATGGTGGATTGAGGTTACTTCCAAAAGCAAGTCAGATACTATGACCTTCCGATTATCATGCGGTGTATAATACACACAAGAGTCGAGTCCACACAAAAGTCATCATGTTAGAAACTGCCATGGTGTAGAATTATTTTTGTCTTTTAGCAAAGTTCTACTGCTTCAAAATCAATGGTGTCAACGAGATGGTGTTCAGAACAAATCAAAGAAACACCACCTACCGGTCAGTGTCTGCCGTCGACAAGGGAGGTAACTCCATTACAACGTGTGACCAGACGATATTTGATCATTTTAAAGCAGGAGGAATGGCTACGCTGAAAGTGAGAAAAGATGGCGACCGTTACAAACCGAAGTGTGGAGAAATTATGGTATTATGCACAAAGAATATCTCTTTCTAAATTAAATCTGTTGTTTACTGAAACATACCTCATGTCCGAAGTAAAGGCAAATGGGATTACAGTGTGATCATATAATGTGGTTTTAAACAGTATTATGCTTTCTGTTATGATACATCATACCCGTAAAGATCAGGGTTAGAATGGGACTTCAGTAACCCATGCTTGTCGTAAGAGGCGACTAACGGGATTGAGTTGTCAGATCTGACTCACTTTCTTGGTTCACATATCATCGTATCCCAATTGTGTTGATCGATGCTCATGATGTTGATCATTGGGTTGCCTGCTACAGACGGCGACATATAGCTGGAATATTGCTGAGTGTAGCGTGAAGCAATAAACAAACAAATATGATACATTATACTAATTTGCTTGGGTTCATTATTATTATGAACGTTTAAGTGCTTCAATAAGAACCATGTGAATAAGAGCAACAGGCATTATGATCTCCAGTGTGACTCGCCTGAACTCGGCTCTTTAGTCTCTCAATATACTCTTTCTGCGGGGTTAAGCTAAAGTTATGATATAAAGCGACCTGTGGCGAACCATTCCTTCTGGCCCAACTACCGCTCTCCACTGATATAAGATTAAAACAGTGCCAGAAGTCACAGGAATCTCCTGATGAGAGTCAATGACGTCAAAATTGACGTCCAGTAATTTGGATGTAGAAACCATATTTCATTGACGTGTTCTGATGTGTTTTAGCTTCTCTCGTGTCCATCATGGAAACCTCGAGTAATACAATTCGTGTTACAAAACAATATTTCTCAGCAACAGATAGTAACATATAGCACTTGCATGGCCAATATACGCGTATCATTGAGCAGGAATTTCTTTATGTTCAAATTCTTCTTTGCAATTTCCCGCAGACCATCATAACAAGGTCCCACCCTAAACTTTCATAAGCAACCAACAAATCACTACATGGGGTTGACGATACACCCAAGGTATTTTATATTCTAGTGTAAGGTTTGATGAGTCCCAGGTGGTTTTGAGTTCTTCTCATTCGACAAAGGTATTATTGTTATCTCACGTTGAATGTTTTACATCAGCATTCAGACAACGTAATGTCATGGAGGTTCAAGTTCCAGGAGTTCCCTGTCACGTCCTCGGCGTACGATGTCCTGTTTGAGGTGACGTGCGACTTCACTAAGGCGGACACACTACAGAGACGTATTACCACTGAAGGCGAGAGGTAAGCTGATGAAGTACGTTATGAAAACATCAAGAGGACACACTGCAGAGACGTATTACCACTGAAGGCGAGAGGTAAGCTGATGAAGTACGTTATGAAAACATCAAGAGGACACACTGCAGAGACGTATTACCACTGAAGGCGAGAGGTAAGCTGATGAAGTACGTTATGAAAACATCAAGAGGACACACTGCAGAGACGTATTACCACTGAAGGCGAGAGGTAAGCTGATGAAGTACGTTATGAAAACATCAAGAGGACACACTGCAGAGACGTATTACCACTGAAGACGTATTACCACTGAAGGCGAGAGGTAAGCTGATGAAGTACGTTATGAAAACATCAAGAGGACACACTGCAGAGACGTATTACCACTGAAGGCGAGAGGTAAGCTGATGCAGTACGTTATGAAAACATCAAGAGGACACACTGCAGAGAATATGTATTCTTCTGGTGGAATTCAACAAACAGTTTAGTAGTCAAAAACACGTTTGTGAATCAGGAAATCCGGTTTGTTTTAACCATATTTTATTCTTGAGAAAAGGATTGCGTACAAGTAATGCATCTTAGAACACCCTCTCCGTAATATTTACATAATATTATTTACATTCATTATATAAGATGGACTGACTAACAGAAATCCGGTTAACCTTATTTTGGTAAAAGCCGGAGCGACTATATTGTTTTCAAAGTTTCCTGAAACAGATACTTTTCTTTTTAAAACGGTGTGCTCATGTTCATTCTCGCGAAAGAAATTACAAATGAGGAGTTGATTGATGCATCATTGTACAGCACACTTTATGCTATAAGTTTTAGTTTGGGGTACACTGAGTATTAAACGATTATCTTCTGACTTTGTCGCCGTCGTCTAAACCAGACCACCAAACCAGACAACAACACTAGCTGAAAGTAAGCTGTCCGTCAGCTTTGACGTCATCGACCCTTACAAGCTAGTTCCTGTCACCACTGCCACTCTGGGACAACAGGTGCAACTGCAGATGAAGCTCAACAACGAAGTCGGTATGACGTCTATTAAAGATTTGTTTGGTTGTTGTTTAACGCCGCACTCAGCAACATTCCAGCTATATGACAGCGGTCCGTAAATAATCGAATCTGGACCAGGCAATCCACTGATCAACATCATGATCATCGATCTAAGCAATTGCATGTGATGACATGTGGGACGCTCCACATCATATTAACGCAAATATGGTTTGTTATGCACAATGATCACATTGACAATTTCTAATTAATTTAAAAAAAAATAGGTATCCTCATAAATACATAATCAACTGATTGTCGTCCGGTGTTGTCAATGAGTCCATGTGTAAACAGCAGCTTTTGTTGTGTGCAAAATGTAAAAAATGTTTTAAATTCCACACGATACATCCTGCCTGAGGGTTTAAGGGACTGTTACTTAATGCTTCAGGAAGGGCCGTGGGGTAGTCCAGTTGTTAAAGGGTCCGCTCGTCACGCCGAAGACCCGGGTTCGATTCCCCACATGGGTACAATGTGTGAAGCCCATTTCAGCTGTCTCCCGCTGTGATATTGCTGGAATATTGCTAAAAGCGGCGTCAAACCATTCTCACTCACTCACGAATTCTTCACCCTCTAATGCGTACATCATTATTATATGATCGTCCCTCTTCCAACTTCTTTGGTATGGGGAAAGTTACTTTTTATGTTAGTTAACAAGACACAATGCCTGTAGAATACTGCTGTAACTATGACACACTTGTGTAAGATAGATATATTTGTTACTGTTCTCGTAAATATTTCTAAGTGAGCTCTGAAGTACAATACCATGATTTGTGCTTCACTGACGTAGTCCCATAATTCCAGAATAACATCCGCCTTCAACACATTTAAGCACATACCTGCATGACTATTTATGTATAAATATGATGTCACATTTCCATATTTTTCAGAGTATGGTATCAGTGCTATAGCACCTTTCAACTGTTCTGTCAGCACGCCTGATGACCGTTATCATGTTTTGGTGTCTGATGAAAATGGGTAATTACTATTTGTATATTTATATCGAAAGGACATGTGTGTATATGCTCCCAAATGGAATAGCTATTTGAAACATCTAACTCAGTAATATATATACCAAACCACAAATATGACTCGAATACACATTACTGCCTTATTGTAAGTCCTTCTAAATTTATATAGATGCACTGTAGTCTAAGTAACTGCGATTTGCTGTAAATAGTTGCATCGTTTGGGCACGCTGGAAACCTAATTCCGCGGGTTCGAATCTCTGAACGCATGGTTATTTTTTTTAGTTTTTATCACCTCCAGGACAGTGCTAGTTGGTTTCATCAATGTGTTGAAGACTTGAGGCCTCACTTTGTCCTTGTCTTCGCGTTAAATTGACAATGACAGCTTGGCGCCGAAAATCTGGGTTCGATTCCCCACTTGGGTACAATGTGGGAAGCCCATTTCTGACGTTCACGCCGTGATATAGCTGGAATATTGCTAAAAGCGGCGTAGAACCTCACTCACTCCATCTAGCTTGTCATATCCTATATCTCATGTCAAATGATTGGTTTTATTTGCATATATTTTGAAGATGTATGACCGACAACGCCCAGATTCAGTTCCCTGCTACGGATCTCCTGACGTGGCGCAGTGACCTGTTCGAGACGTTCGCCTTCCCCGGTTACGACAAGCTCCTCTTCCGGTGTCAGTTCCATGTGTGTTTCGACGAGGAACACCCTATCTGTCATGATGTAAGTGTCATAGTCTTTCGTGGCTTGAGTGAGTGAGTTTAGTTTTACGCCGCTTTTAGCAATATTCCAGCAATATCACGGCAGGGATACCAGAAATGGCCTTCACTCATTGTACCCATGTAGGGAATCGAACCTGGGTCTCCGGCGTGACGAGCGGACCTTTTAACCACAAGACTACCCCACTACCTCAGGGTGGCTAAAGACCGCACTGCGTGCATAACGTGCTACAATACTACAACAGGTACGTGAGTTGGATTTTACGCCGCTTTTAGCAATATTCAAGCGATATCACGGCGCGGGACACTAGGAAAGGGCTTCACACATTGTAGGCATGGGAATCGAACCGGGGTCTTCGGCGTGACAAACTAATACTTTTACTACTAGCCTACCCCACCACCACCCGTATACATCAACTTACTGTAGTTATATTATAGCCTATTATATACGATCCACCTTCATGTCACTAATAGCTTCAGAAACCGATGATTTGTGTTCTAAATACACGATTTTCATAATCTAATGAAACTAGGAAACAACCTATAAAGTATATAATGTAAACCTTTTGTTAACCGTTGTTTATGCAAGATTTGTTAAAAATTATGTATTTCAAAGACATTAATTCTTGTCAAAATGATAAGAGTTTAATGCTTTCGATATCCAGTGCAGGACGGTATACATGCAATCTCTGTGGTATGTCCTAACACTAAATCAACGCAACCATGCATTTTCATGCGTTTTGCTCTCCCGGCGACAACAACCCTATTTCATCATAATATTGTTCTGATATCTGCTAAATATAGTTCAGACATTAATGGACCCGTGAAGATCCGGGATAGAATAGGTCTTCAGCAACCCATGTGCTTGCCATAAAAGGCGACTATGCTTGTCGTAAGATGCGACTAACGGGATCGGGTGGTCAGTTTCGCTGACTTAATTGACACATGTCATCGGTTCCCAATTGCGCAGATCGATGCTCATGCTGTTGATCACTGGATTGACTGGTCCAGACTCGATTATTTACAGACCGATGCCATATAGCTGGGATATTGTTGAGTGCGGCGTAAAACTAAACTCACTCACTCACTCAGACATTAATGATTACCATCATTCTCTCCAGCGGATAGACCTACCGCTTCAGATGGAGTAAAAGGATGGTATACTGTAGCTGTATCTGTTACAGATGTGCACCCACTCCAAGAAGAGGAAGGTCAAGAAGATGAGGAAGAGAAAACGTTCCCATAAACATCTTCAACAAGTAGAGATCGGGACAACACTTTCTGTCCGGAATTAGAATGAGTGCGTTTAGTGTTGTGCCGCTTTTAGCAATATTCGAGCAATATCGCCACAGGCACACCACAAATGGGCTTCACACATTGGAATATCTAACCCCTGTCTTCACCAACGCTTTAAACACGAGGATTAACCCACCGCTCCCTGAATTAGAAATTATTATGAACATTCATTTTTGTCTATAGAGCCAACGTCATATTTACCCTGCTTTAGATATCTTATACATCCACTGGTGAGGAAATATGGTTTTACGGCTTTCCAGCAGTATTCCAGCACTAACAATCGAGTACACTGGACATGGCGTCCACACACACCCATTTTGGGTCTCGGTTTCGATCCTTAAGAAGGATGAATGGAACGCTGTTGCTAATTGGTTACCACACCGTTACCATAGACATTGTGACGATTACACAATGATTTAACTTACTGTGATCATTGTTTTAAGCATCACTTTGTTATTCATAATGTCATTATTGACAGATTGAAGACCAAGAGACACGTTTCATCAACTACCTTCTGACTCTATAACGTTAATTATAATACGATACAGCTCCCATACTTGACAATGGGAATTTCTCATGGGTTGTTCTCTGTACATTGTTTTATTTGAAATTTCTAATAATTTTGTGTTGTTTGTAGTAATAAATACACGCCATTGGTTAAGTAAAAGTGTGCCAAGCAATCATATGTATGACTTCCGACTTAATTAATATCATTATGTCATGATATATGTCTTAATCACTCATTAATGATAATAATACTTCTAGTGCATCAGAAGAATTGCTATCGGTATGTCAAAGACGTTGCTTAAGTATGCCTGAAACTAATCTGGCCTGAGGTTAATTATTCGGAATTGTGGCTCCCTGTATATCGAATCTAACTGCAGTCAATGAACACAGACCATTTTGTTAGACTCGGGACCATAGACGTCCTGACAAAGAGCGTTGTGTTTTAGGTGACATGGTCACTAGAAGTCCCATCATGCAGCTGTACGATTGCTGAGATCAACAGCAGTAAGTGAGAGAGTTTAGTTGTACGCCACTGTTAGCCATATTCCAGCAATATCACGGGGGACACCAGAAATGGGCTTCACACATTGTACTCAAGTGGGGAATCGAACCCGGGTCTTCGGCGTGACGAGCGAACGCTTTAACCACTAGGCTGCTCAACCACCCGAGATCAACAGTAGCCCCTTGGAGTAGGTTCCCCGACCAGCTCATGCTTGTTGTTTGTGCTACTGTCACCCATTGTCACTTCATAATGACTACAGTAAGAAAAATAAGCAGCGAATTCACGCCATGAACATCAGCTGTATAGCGGCACATGGATGCACCAATAACAGTACTGTGTCGTATGCTTGCATTTTCTGTGAATGCTTAACGTTTGGGTACGTCATCAGTATTGGAATTCTGCAGACATGACAGGCTGAATATATCTATACAGTTAGTACTTGTGGAAGTCGGGTTCGAGTGAGTGAGTTTTAGCCGCTTTTAGCAATATTCCAGCAATATCACGGCTGGGGACACCAAAAACAGGCTTCACACATTGTACCCATGTGGGGGATCGAACCCGTGCCTTAAGCTTGACGAGCAAACGCTTTAACCATTAATCTACCCCACCGTCCCTACAGTCAGGAGCGACTTCAGTATCCGTAAACCTGTTACAGATGTTGCTATAATATGTCCACGATAACATGGTTTGAATGTGATGCCAAGCATGAAATGGATATTGCGTTGTTCAGTTGAAGGTGCGTCGGTAATGCAGGTTTTGTCTGGAATGACTCTAAATGTTATAAACAATGGCTATAGCTCTAACCGTCACAGATAGTTTACACAGTAACGACAGAGCGCACGCTCGTGAATTGTATAAATGAGTGTGATTTTACGCCGCTTTTAGCAATATCATGGCAGGGGATACCAGAAATGGGCTTCACACGTACCCATGTTGAGAATGGAACCTAGGTCTTCAACGAGACAATTAGGCTGACGCACCGCAGCAGCGAATTGTAGCCAGCTGATCGGCACTCATACCCCGGGTGTGACATGTTGTACATCTAAATGGCCTTGAGGTATGGCAGCCACGTGTCACGTACGTCTGTGTCACACTGTTTGCTAGCTCTGTAAATTTAAGCACCACATCTCTAACAAGACATCTCTGCCAAAAGCACGAGTCCGACTGCGTCATGAGCATATCTGAAAGAATCAACAACAAATTAATAGTGATGATAACATCCAGCACATGTCACAAACACATGACAGGCAAGTCAATATTTCACTTGAAATCATGGGAGCATGAGATACTCGTAAAAAAAGGGGGCTACATCGTTCATCGTTTATGTCAAAATCCTTCATTGCCTATGAACGTTTAACAGAGGCCTTTAATGGGCCATGTGTCTCATATTAACCGATTGTCTGTTACGGTAGTGAAATTGCATCTACCTGAGCTGTGGCCCAGCATTTCAGGTGTAAAATGTATCGTGTTCGACTTAATGGCTTTGTTTAATGGCCTTGTAATGTGTGACAATGAATCTAGTTTTTTAGCAACAATTCACATATTTTTAATAGAAAATGTCAGGGAGCACGTATATTATTTTGGCACCATAACCATAACAACCCGCCATCTCTCCAACTAACCCCCCACTATCAATCTTCAACTAATTCCTCTCCCAACCATAACAACCCGCCATCTCTCCAACTAACCCCCCACTATCAATCTTCAACTAATTCCTCCCCCAATTATCACCAACCCACCATCCCTCCGACTAACCCCCCGCCCCAGCCACCACTAGCTCGCCGTCTGCTTCCTGTTTCCGTAACATCTTGCTACATGAAGGTCACCTTCATCTGGCCATTGGCTTTTATGAGTTAAGGAAGACGGATTGCAGACAAAACATGGCGACAGATGGTGGAGGGATGTTGAGGTTGATGTTGGTGGTGTTTCTCATCGTCAACGTCGCCAATGGGAAAGATACATTGGGTAAGTCAATCCTACTTGGATTAGCGGTGTAACGATTCATCGATGGTATCGATGTTTGCATCGTCAACTATGGGATACGAGTGCAACGACATAAAACACATTTAGGCAATATATCAGGATATTTATATCGTGAGAGTCCATGATACATCGATGTATCGCCACAAGAGACGATATATCCCGATACTACTCACGTAATTTACTTAAACTAAAATAGGAATTTGTTTGTATCTGTTATCTTTGTTACATGAACCAAGGAGTTGGTTTACAATTGAAAGAGTGTGAACTGTTTTCAAACTCTGTGAACCGTATTCTTGTCTTCAAATAATTGAAATATGTTTTAGCTGTTTGACAAACAACACCATTTATTAACAACTATGAACGATGACTCAGCCTTGTTTAGAACGAGAACAAAGATATTTAGAAAGCAGACTTAAGAGTTTTTTCAGTGATTCTGAATTCTGATATAAATTACATTGAATTGTTTGTCAAAAGCATTGGTGTAGACATACAACTTCCCAACTTCAGTTTCAAATTTACTTATATCAGATCAAGGTATACTTAATATGTTTGACTGTACTTTCTTAAGCATCAAATGCTTAAATTTTATTAGATCAACAGAAATGGGATTCACACATTGTACACATGTGGGGAATCGAACCGGGGTCTTAGGCGTGACTAGCAGACGCTTTAAACTAGGGCACCCCACCGCAGATGTGCCTAAGTTGGTGGTTCCACACAGGCAGTTTACCGGGAAAGAGATGATCCCATGTCACGTACTATTTTCTTCTTACTAACATGTTAGACAGGTTAAAGTGTCCACAGGGCTGGGTACTGGAGCGCCAGTCTTGCTACAAGTGGGGACCTACCCAGATGCCGTTCTCTGACGCTCAGGATCAATGTCGTCAGATGGAAGCCAGAGTCAGAGTCATCACGAACGATGAAGAGAACCAACTCTTCTCTGGTATCTATGAACTTCCGCAAGACTAACCTATGAGGACAGTTTTATTTTCAGTATGCAATAATAATAATTAATTAAAAATAGGTTTATGTACAAGTAGTTACATTTATCAAACATTACTGTTACATTATTTTCCCGAACTTTTGTTTTTATATATAAATATATTAAGCATAACCTTTGAAGGGTGTTTTCTGAATTGAATTGTTTGCAGATCAACTGAATGTAAAATATACTTCCCATCAAAAGTTTAGATTCAATTCAAAACACTCACTATATGTTATGTATATACACTAAACGCCAAAAGAAACTATGCCACGATTAACAGCTGAAGAGAAATGGTGCAGATGGTGCAGAAGGGGTCAACATAAAATGCTGTTGCCAACCCCCTCGGATGCCACTTCTTGGTCTGTCTACGGTGACCCCAGTCTGTCTGAATCCCTGAATAAATCTCATCGTGATACGGTGGCATCCGAGGGCGTTGGCAACAACTTTTTATGTCGACCCCCATCTACACCATCCCGATGGCTCTTTCTTTCTCTTCAGTTGTTAATCGTGGCATATTTCTCGTACTTGAGTATCATATCATGTATTCTAGGCTCTCTTCATACCCTATAGAATCATTCTACATGTGAAATGGATGCAAATACTGCTTGAATATTGCTGCGTTTTGGCGATCGATATTGCTATGTGTAAACAGAAAATGGAAAAATGTTACTTTGCAAGAAAAAATGTTAACAAAGATCATTTTAGATGTTCCGAAACATTTCCTTACTATATCAAAGACACGTTTTATTTGTTTTCACTAATGAAAATCAGCAGAAAATGTTTTAAAAGACTGAAATCATAGGAGTGATTATTTTACAATTTTACACACTCTACAACATTTGTTTCTTGTTTTAATAGTTGAAAAATGGTGACTTTCAATGTTTTATCTTTATCTCATAGCAGAATTGTATTTCAACCTTTCTGTTGGACATCTAAATCACTGTTATTGGTTTATTTCGGCATGGACGAAAATAGGACAATTAACTCTTCTGAAAAAAAGATGCATTTCACCTAAATATGAATGCATTTGAGAAATTGTTTTTCGTGATTTGCATAAAGCTGTGTTGTTAAGCTTTCTTGTGAACTAATATTGTGTAACATATCTTTGATAGTTTTCAACTAATTCATAAAGGTAGGAGGGTAACGTTTCTTTTGGCGTTTAGTGTATGTATGGATACATCGAAGATGAATTTATTCACTACCTTGAAGGAACCAACTGCAAACCTTACGCAGGATCATGCATCAAATTGCTGAAAAGCATGTGAAAATATCGTGCATGTGAACTGCTGCGCTTTGGTGTAAAGTTTTGTTAAAGGTCACATAAACCCTAGGGGGTAAAAAATACATAAATCACTAACTGGCATCGTTATAAATGCAACCCCGTCATTAAAACTACTCATTTCGACCTTTAATTGACTTAAATCGACCTTTTTGACAACAGTGCACAATTCTCACCCGCGAACGAAATTTCAACCAATCAGAGCGGCGCGACTCTGTGACGTCATATGAGGAATAGCTTTGAGGGCCGATGCAGAATTCATCTACATTTTAGGGGGTAAATTATCTTGTTTACAGGCTTGTATAAACCTGAAATCGTGACAATTGTTGTGGAAAATGAAAGCTATATGTTCTCACAATCTACTGTCATTTAATTTTGTCTCCTGCTTTGCCTAGTTTCCGAGTTACAACTTGTTTTCATAGACGCTTCTGTCACAATTGATTGGTGTCGTTAGGCCCTATTTGTATAATGACTGATCCAAATTGATCCCATTTCTGTGTTTTTTTACCTCGTTTTTAAATCATGTCATGTAAAAATCTGTTTGTATTCTCAAAACAGTGTCGGCCCATAAGTTTTCACATGCAATACAGCAATTAATACTCCCTTGTTGTAACCCGTGTTAGGTGGTATAAACCTACACATGTTATTTGTCATCATTCACTTGATGGTCAGTTAATGAATTTATAACAGGTATAATTAGTGGTAACACACTTAGATTACCCGACAAAGGTTCCCATTTGGCATTTCTTGTGTCTGGAGTAAATATTCAACATTATGAACATCGATCAAAGGATTAACCGATAACACGCTGATTGATTAATTACTTTTATCTTACACAGCGGAATTGTCAAAAGGTAGTGTTTATGTATGTAGATTTACTAATCTATACTGAATACACTCTGCCGTGTCGGTATCTGCGTAAAAACAACGTCCTTCTGTCAAAGGATTAACCGGCAATACATTGATTGATTGCCCATTATTGGCTAACTAAATTACTGTTTTTAATGAAAGGCGGACATTATGCAATTAGTTGCCAGGTGTGCTATCTTGGGTGACCAATGAGACTATACACCAATACCTGAAAAGATTTATCACTTTTTCGTATATTAAACTGTTAAAAGACACATCATTTGGAACAGTTTTGTGGATATTGATGGATACATTCCTCAAACAAGGTAATGGCCTGATATTGTTCCTATAACTTTAATCTGTTTTAATTTTAATATTTGCATTTTGTTTTTTAATCATTTGTCGTAGCATTCAACAGAATCATTGTTTTCGCCGTGAAGTGTAATGAGACAGACAACATACACTAGGGGTGTGTGTGCGAATTATGATTCACATTGGCAAACTATAAAATGTCTAGATATTACAGTTCTGTTATAAATTCACTATAAGTATCAGCAGATCGTCAGCTTTTATTTAGTTTCAAAATGCATAAAAGTATGATAATAAACTAATTAGGATTATAAGACCAAATATAAAGACGCACATTGACTAGTATCTACATACTGGTGAGTGGACATTAACCATGTGAATGTAGCAAGAAATTTATCGCGCAGTATTGTGACTTCGACCCCCACCTCGCTTCCGTGGAAGAAATCGTTATGTTATAAGTTGTCTCATGCAAAACCCTTTTGGTTATGATTCCAATACATATTTAACTACGAGTAGAAAGTAGTTTTGATTTTCTAACTTGATGAAAACAAACTATAATCTCATTAATTCTAACAGACTTTACGATTTTCAAAAATGGCGGCGCCCTGTCGGGAACATCCGCCAGTCTGTGGATAAATGCTATTTAGGTTTGTTTTCACCGAGTTACAAAATTAAAACTACTTTCTACTGGTAGTAAAATATGTATTTTATTGATGGCCAATAGGATTTTGCATGACATAGCGTATAACATGACAATTTCTCTCCTGGCAGTGAGGTGGGTGTCAATATAATACTACTTACAATATTATTGTTACTTCGACCACAACCTCACTTCCGAGGAAGAAATCGTTATGTTACAAGTTGTGTTATGGAAAATCTTTATGGTCATCAATCATATACACATTTTACTATAACTAGTAAGTAGTTTTGATTCTTTAACTTTGGTGAAGCGATCTGAACACAAGTAAGATATCGTTTCAGGCTTCCACAACGCTCGCTTCGCACTCACAAACAAAACCCATTTAGCACGAACTGCGGGATCCTGTGGAAATCTGTGCATGGTGACACCATCACCCGACCCCTAGGAGCAATTGACGACAAAGCAACGATTCGGCATGTCGTCGTTCATGTCGAGAAATCATCAAAATGATGAGCGTGCAACACACTTTCTATACAACTAACTGAAAATCGTTCCTCATATGACGTCACTGCAGTGCTCTGGCGACAGAGTTACGTAACCTGTCTGTGGTTTCGTTGGCGGGCGAGAGGGAAGCAGGCGACTTTTTGGCCACTTTTAATCGCTCGGTATTAATTAACCACAAGTTTTTAAAGAATAAATTTGGTGTTCCGCATAAGACTAACCACAAATCTTTCATATGTAATGGTTAAAAGAGTAACAAAATACAAAGTTTAGTGGTTCTTTAAGAATTTTCACTGAGTTTCATCATTTATTGAACTCATGACAATAATTTTTACAACGTTAAGAATTTGTTTTCCAATACATCAATCCATGTGTAAACAGTACCGTTAAACCTTATGGAATAGTTTGCAAAATTTAGCTAGAACACTTGGCTGAAGTAAGTGGCTACATTTACACTAGTGAGTCTAAACTTTTAATGGGTAGTATAGCACAGCAGGTGGTTTTCATTTCACAGAAAGCTGTAATTTTTCTGTCAGTGAATAGATACTAGTAGGTGCGTAAAACACCACGAGTAAAGGCCTAGGTTCCACATAATTACAAATAGCAAGTAAAGATCTAATGTCTTGTTCTATGGATGGAGTGTCCGTTAGTGCCATCACGCTTGTTTATTACTGACATACTTTGTCATGTATAACAGTGTCCAACTCTGGAGGCACGTACTGGCTCGGGATCCATAGATTCAGCAACCGGAAATGGGGATATCGGACAAACGGAACCAACACAGTAAGTGAATGGTATATTTCGATTTAGCCGGGATGCCCTTTCTCGGGAGTCCGACATGTTTTCTTTCACTGTATATTTACTTCCAGGAGCTTGCCTACACCAAATTCATCCACTTCGACCAGTACCAATTCGACTATGGAATGACCTGTGTTGTGTGGCAATCACAAACGAAAGTATGGTCGCTTGAGTCATGCACGAACCCCCATCTGTTCATCTGCCAGAAATCTCCAGGTGAGTCAACTCGATTGGCATCATTACCGCTTAACTGTTTATTAGTCCCGTTTCTGATTCTAACCAAAAATAATTCCAGACTGTTTTCCTGGTCTCTTTGGAGAGAACTGCACCAACCAGTGCCACTGCAGAGGAGACGCCTGCGACACCACTTCCGGTCTCTGCAACTATGGCTGCCAGATAGGTTGGAAGGGGGAGTCTTGCAATAAAGGTATGTTAGTTTAAATAGTTTAGGTTTGGGCAGTTTTGGGAGTTTACAGAAAGAGCTGAATGCATGCACTTATCCTGTGTTGTCACGGACAAAGACACAATAATATACTCGGCGTCATTAATGAGGGGTCAGGCTGTTGGTAACACTATATCTTAAAAGTTGTAAAATCTTCGATTTTGTTTGAAATATATACCACTGAATGTTTTACAAACGTTCTTAACAGTATAGAAAAACACATCAGGCCGTTCTTTAACGTCCGATACATTCTGTTACAAATGGCACATTTTTAATTCAAATTGTCAATATGGAAATCCACCTGCCACTTTATGTCAATGATTTGCGTGTGCAAGTTGTTTTATCTATGGAAAGTGGAGGACAATACACATGCATTGAAGCATCGTTCACTGTCGTTCGCTGTTCAGGTACCTGTTTGATATCTCAGCTGAAAATGAGGTGTTTTTCGCCACTTGCTGAAAGGGGTCAGGCTATAGGCCTTTTGGAATCTGGTCAAACTCAGCAGCAGGTTGCTGTCCGCTTTAATGTGAGTCAGAGTGCTATTGGTAGACTGTGACAGAGATTTCAAGCCAAAGGGGCCGTGGAATATGCACGTCGACCAGGTCGCCCCAGAGTCACAACGGTCCGAGAGGATAGGCACATCATTAACACTGCGTTGCGTAACATATTCCTTAACGCTGCAGACCTTAAGACAGAAAACTTCAATGTTAACAATTTAAGGATATCCAGGCGCACCGTTCGTCGACGTTTACGAGAAGCCGGATTCTGCTGTAGGCGACTTGCACTTCGTCCACCACTAACACCACGTCACAGACAGGCGCGTTTGAGATTCTAGTAGACATCATGGCCGCTGGAATCAACGTCAATGGTCTCGTGTGCTCTTCACAGATGAAAGCTGATTCCATTTGTCCTACCATTATGGTTGGCAGAGGATTTATCGTCGCAATGGAGAGCAAATCACAGATGTAACTGTGGCCACGCATAACCCATTTGGCGGGGGGGGGGGTTGGTCATGGTTTGGCCAGGGATAACTCCGACTGGACGTACTGCACTGTACTTGGTCTACGGTAATCTTATCGGGACGAGATTCTGGCTCATTTAGCAGTACCATTCCTGCAAGCCATGCATGGCTTTTATGGACGACCCTCTTCACTGCATGACGACAACGCTAGACCTCATAGGGCCAGGATTGTCACGGAATTCCTTATGTTAGACAGAGGGGTGTAGAGCGGATGGAATGACCAGCATGTTCGCCAGACCTCAACCCTATTGAGCATGCTTGTGATGAACTTGGTCGACGCGTGTACACACGTCACCAAGCACCAGTGGACCTCCCAGGACTCCACAGAGTTCTAGTTGAGGAATGAAATGCAATTCCGCAAGCTCTCTTTATGAACTTGATAAGGAGCATGAGAAGAAGGTACACAGTATCTTGGACGCGTGAGGAGGTACACAAGATAATGAATGACAGTGTTTGATGTTTGTCATTTTCATTCTGTGGGCTGATCTATACAAGTGTTTGAACTGTTTGTCTGTGTGTCACGATTTGTCAACAAATTAAACATTATGATGACACTCTTAGTTCTATTATTTCAGAGGAACTTTTCTTTACATGTGCTATGTATCATTTGACCCTTTATTAATGAAGGGGCAGTGGGGTAGCCTAATGGTTAAAGCGTCCGCTGGACACGTTGAAGACCCGGGTTCGATTCCCCACATGGGTGCAATGTGTGAAGCCCATTTCTGGTGTCCCCCGCCGTGATATTGCTGGAATATTGCTAAAAGCGGCGTAAAACCATACTCACTCACTCACTTTATTAATGACGCCCAGTATATGTTCAGGGCAGTTTGTGACAAGCTTTTCAGTACAGTGGTGTAGTGATGATACGCAGAACACTTGAACCATAAATATATATTAAAACGTTGTCTCTATATGACGTGTGATATGGTATTAACACACGAATAGCTCTATGTATGACCTGCTGGTGCAATCCTACATTTCAAATTAACCATGCTTAACGTCATTCACTTTCAGAAAAGAAGAAAGCCACTGGTACGTATTTTTACTTAACAGCTACTGAATACACAGTGCCATTTAGAAAGTGTCCAGATGTAACACGTTATATTTGGGATTGCACTTTCTCAGTATAGTACAGATTCTAGTACTTTTGTTGGGTTGAGTCCCTTCCGGGATTCGAACCGACACCATCAGTCAGGCACCAAATCGTCAGCAGACAATGTTAGCCGTCTAACCGACTCAGCCACCGCCTGTGTTAACAGTTACTGTCTACATACTCTATAGCAACATGTCAGCTATAACACCAAGCACTAGGACTTTACGAGTCAGGAGGGGAACTTCATTTTTAATTTACGATTGAAAAAGTTGAGGGTTATTGGAATCAATCAGTGTTGATGTGATAATAATGAATGTTTTGAAAGTGCATCACCACTTGCACTTCCTTATGATAGATGATTGGTGTGTGACGTGTTGTGTGAGAAAACGTTTAACTACTAGTCTACTTCATCGACCCTTACGATTTAATTAGAGACCATATGATACATATGTAATTGTCTCGTGAAGAGACTATCGTGGATTGTGGCTGTTTTGGTATAGAACATTTTGATCAAATCGAAAAAATACTTGCAACATGGCATTTGCCAATGCGTTTACCACTGTTGTATTGTTCGTCATCCGTTTGGTGTGTACATTTCAGCCAAGTTCTACTGCTTCAAGATCCAAGGACGTAATGTGATGATGTTACGTGTGGATCAAAGGGGGACGATCTACCGGGGGGTGTCTGCCATAGATGAGTATGGGGAACCAGTCGACGCTTGTACCCGAACCGTGTATGACCACTTCGAGCCGGGGGGTACAGGGACGCTGAAGGTGATGCAAAGTGCCAGTGGCAGTTTCACGCCCAACTGTAGAGGAAACGAGGTCAAGTATTAATACTCGCAAACCATTGTTCATGTTCAATGTGGTAAGCAGATAATACTCAAATCAATATTTCAGTTTGTTACTTTGTACAACTTTAATGTACCGTTTCAATTCCTTTTTAGAATGGAAATACAATAATTATTAAAACTTGTATTCGTCGCCCATCATTCAAATATATTGTATTATGATAATAATTGCATATTCCAGCATTACACAATTACTCACGACCACATTCAAGTTACAAACACGTTATTGTATTTGATGATATTTTAATTCAAGTACACTCACTCACATACAGGCAGACGCACATGCACTCACTCTCTTTCCAATATGGATTGTCTTCATTAACTGTGTTGAAATCTATAATTTAAGACAAGTATATGGATGGCAACTTCTTATTTATTCTTAACGCAACATTTCTGGGATACTTCTTGCCCTCCTTCATGTGATT